TATATATATGTATGTCAGCGTCATTATGTCTAAAATGTGTTTTCGTCTAAAATGAAGACTCCAATGAAAGACAGGACATAGGGCAGAAATGCAAGGCATCTAGTGAAAATATAGCTGTATGAGTCTACTATAGGATGTTCGTAATAGATGCGTGTAAGGACTAATGCTGCTTTATTCGCCATGAAAAATACTACTTTCGTTACCATACACAGGATGGAGCAAAAGTAGGCCAGTTTGTTGGAAACGACACATGTCTAGCATTAGCAAAAGCAATTTAGATGTACTGTTACAAAAAGCGGAAGCATCTATAGTTAAAGCAGCATTTGCAAACTGCAAACCTCCTACAAAAAAACTCATTGGTTTTTTATGATGATTTAACCGCTGTAAGCTAACGTTCAACCGTCCCTTTTGATTAACTGAGAGACAAGGACCTACCATCATAAATATATCTTCATTATGGAACTTCAAAGGAAACAGTTTCACCGGTGCACCTCAGCACTATGATTTAACTCTGCCTCGCTGTCATTTCTTCATTCAGGAAGCTCGATATAAAGTAAATTTGCCTTTTTCATAACATCTGTGACTCTTTTTTATTTCTTTCCGATCAGGTACCTCATGCATCGCGCAATGAAAGAGGAGGTTGTTACCCCGATTACGGAAGCAATCCAAGACGAGCTGCTAAGTCCAAAAGCCGATAAGAGCAAGGTACTTCTATTGGATGACGCATCTCACCATTAGGTGACCAACCGGCTATTCTCGGAGGAATAGCTCGTTGTAAGTTCAGAGTAGCTAGACGATTGCCTCCCGAGGCGATCTCCTTTTATAGCTTCGAATGACTCAACAAAATCTCCCGGCAGCTTAACGATATAATGTAGCGACGAGTATTCAGTACGCACTAACTTATTCGTATCACATGCACACTATGGCACATACTTAAAAGGTTCCTGTCAGACTATCCTAGTAAAAATGGGGAAAAAAATGATAAAGAACAAAACATCTAATTTTATGCACATGCGAAAAGTAGTGCGAACCAGTCATGGAGCGTTCCCATTTAAAATAAGTGAACGCTTATGTGAGTTTCGAAATATTGGAAAATTTCCGGAGAACGCACCCATATTTTCATTCTTATGAATTTTCGTTCTATCATATGTATTCTGCTTCGTATTGTCTTGTAAATACCGTATCTTACAAAGGCCATTATCTTAGGCATTCTGATCGCAGTTGGCAATAGCGTCCAAAAATTGTATAGAGGCGATATTCGGTTAGGAACCTCCGAACTATTGCCGATCTGACGATCAGTGGTAGCGGACAACACGTGTTCCGTTTATGCATCCCGTAAAATAAAATACGAGTGATTTAAATGATTTCAACAAAGGCCAACTATACGTAGAAGTCAGCGTCGGCTTGATTATACATCACTACTTCGTGCGATATACAAGCCCTTCAGATCAGTCGAAATTTACATTTGCTGACATCTTAACTTCGATAACTTGCCCGCCGGAATGAAATATGCCTGCATCAACGCCCCTAATAGAAATGATTCTCATACTTAACGTATGTTCGGGAAAAATGCGGTCAGGTATGACGTCTCTATGCTCTATTAAACTTCATGCACACCCCATCAATGTACACCCGAAGTACATCACATAATTTATTGACGGCCTCATGAGATGTCACTAATTTAATCATTATGTAATATATTGATGCGATATGTATCGAATAAAGATATGTTTTCCCGGCATGTTGTATTATGATTGTTTGTATTGCGATTATTCTTATGTATTTTAGACTCACTACGTTACAACTTTCAGTTATTTTCCAAGTTCGCTTAAAACATATACTGTATACCTTCTGCAGATTGCTAGCGATAATAGCTGTCTTAGGTGTTACCTTCTTCGCTTATCAATCGTATCAGTAGGCGTCGCACACTTTAAAGGCATTTCGACAATCTCTTACTAAAAGAAATCATAGCCTTTATTGTGGGTGCAGTCAAAAGATCTCTACTATCAATGAGATCAACACGTTCCCGGACTTTCTCGGTATCCGCATGTTCAGATGTCCATCCCGTACTGGGGAGCACTTCAAGACAGGCCAACGTCATACACGAAACAATTTCGCTTCGCAATAAATATTTGCACTAAGGGCATTAGAGTAGACCTACACTATACAGCCCGCCATTATACATTCTTCTACTTTAAATTTAGTGCCAAAATTTTCGACTTAGATGTCAAAGACCCTACTGTTTCACATAGGTCCTGCGATTAATTTTCATTAAATCTTTCACGTCTCGCCAGCCTTCCTTCTAAGGCGGTGGGAACTGGGAGACTACCACCGCGGATCACAGGCACTCGCAGAACTACATCTTGAACAGAAAGCTTATATAATTGATTCAAACAAAATAATTACAATTGCAGAAACGTCTTTTCTGTAGTCGGTTGTATGCATTGGGACAATATAAATCAATCAAGAGTCACTACGAACGGTCTCGGTTATAATCGTTCAAATAATTGAACGGCTTATATTGGTCCGGTTAAAAAAAAAATAGTAACATCACTGAAATAATACTAAAAATGCTAATAATATTTTTAAACAGAATGTACCGATGGTGGAATTCCTATAACAATATAGAAGAGCATGTTGATCAAGATTACCAAAAAAAAAAAAAAAAAAAGAAGACTTGTAAATTGAAAAAATGTTTGTAAAATAGCTTAAAGTAACTAATTAATCGTGCACAAACGATCCAGGGATTTGAAAAGCTGTAACCTCAAGCTGTGACAGAAAAAATGATTTATTCCTATCGAACATAATAGTAAGGTTTTATAGTACCTAACAATTTTCGCCTTATATACAGCGTTTTATGAGAAAAGGCTGGTGTTAATTAAGTAATTAAGAAGTCTTACAACATGTTTACCAATGTTAGCTGATTAGAATTATTAATAAATAAAGCAAAAATAGAAAAAAATTGACTATCATGATGTCCATTAACGGCCAAAGTATAGAAATAATGACCAATGGTTAGATGATTATGACGATGGTATTTGCGAAACGAAACATGGCGTTTCTTCTAAGATATGCAAGAGGGTGAACAAATGGTTGAAGAAGATTAGTCAGGGCTTGTTGAGTTGTTCTGTTCGATAATATCGTACTTGCACAAAAAGTAAAGGGCTAAGTAGTAACACGAATAGATTAAGGCGAACATCTAGATAAACAGACATCTCTCATTGACAAATCGTCGATAACACTAATTACATTGTATTAGTTTCAATTATGTGTAAAGCTTTAGATTTTCTGTATTCTTACCTGCTATGGGTGTACCATCACGAAAGGGGGTATATCATCTCTAGACGGGCTGTTTTTTTTGACTCGTTCGTCGAAACCCAGTGCTTCCTGCTATTGGGACATAAAACTTTAATATAGAATATAGACGCGTGATAGTATAATTTCGACAGTTGGTGTACAACTCCGCGTTGCATGCTTAAATGAACCAGCAGTCTCCAGCAATAGTTAGCGTCAGCACCGAACCTGAACACTCAAAATATCTACTTAGAACGTACGAGTAGGCATAATGTCGACCTCGTAACCAGAGGATTTACAATACCAATTACAGAAGAAAGGCTGAACAAGTTTCTCAAGTTAACAACGCACCTCGATCGTTACTAACAGCAAAAACCCGATTTTTGTCAGGGCCAGTGCGTCTCTACTCCGCTTGGATTGTATATAGGAAGCTGAAATGTAATTATTATTTATATATGACGTTTTAGTTCATGTTTGTAGATCATAAATGTGCAGATGTTTGATGTGCTCCCCACAGCTGCAATCAAACCACCGACCAACCGATTCGTACTTCCGAAAAAGGGTGATTGTAGCTCATGAAGGTGCGGCATAGCTGGTAAGCTTCAAGGAGCTTTCTATCTCGCTCTATTGAAACGGCGTGTTCGTTAGGCAAGAAAGTTAGAGTATAATAATCTTTCGAAAAATTTTAAAACTACGAGAAAGGAGGTTAGCGAGGCACACTTTGATTGACTCGTTGAGGGTGAAAACCTCCAAATATCATGTTCCGTTCGTACCATGGACTAACTTGTATAAGCTTTGAACACGTCCAGTTAAACAAATCGGCTGCAAATCGGAGCAGGTGCAGGAGGAACTGGCAATAAACGTTGCGGAACCAAAAAGCGTAGCGGTCCTGACTTTTTAGCGGACGATACAAACGGCACTGCTCTTTTCTGAATTCACACCGCAGAAACCGATACTCAGTGCTAAGTTAGAGAAACCGTGGGCCTTTATAATCAAAATAGAAGCGTTGAGATTAAAACAACAGGGTCGATCAATGACTGTTATATTATTCTTCGACTACTGGAATTATAGCTGCTGAACATTTGCTTGCAGTAGAGACAGTGCTACAGTTTAGGGTATAGGCACACCTAATTTCCTATTGCCTGACAGAAGCTAGCCGTTTGAAGCAATACCTAACGTCTCAAAAAAATGCTGATATTTAATTTCATAGCTTAAGACAAACAATCTCATACACAAAAAACATGAATTTAAAATTGATAAACACCTTTTTGGTAAAATCCGTAGTTTGTTATTGATATTATGCACACTAAATCATCTATGTGCATAATATTTTATTAACTAAATTAACGTACATCAACTTTCCAAATCCTACTGCAAAATCAAACAATACTTGGACTTTATCAGCAACCACGAAGATCATCATAACCTGAAATTGTTTCATCTATATTGTCTGTTATATAAATACTGTTAAATAACATTAGGGGTTGAAGACCGTAGAGGAGGTGATTACGCTTCAGGGGTTCAAACAGAAAAACGACTTATTGTAAAACGGAACATAAACAATACGTTCCATGTCGGCGCAGTATAGGTTTCCTGAAAGCAAGTGTTGTACAGTTTTAACAAGAACATTGAAGGCAAATGAGGAAGGTAAAAAAATCGGCTGATCCCAATATTTACTCCATTCTTCGACGGATCACTAAGTAGCGCAGCGCACTCTGCTGCCGATTCTGTAAAAGGATCAGTAATGAAATTACGTATGGTAATTCGAATCAAAAATGCACAGCAGATCGAAAGCTTGCACAATGCTGGTTTCAATGTGTTAACAGTATATATAGCGTATACTAAAAATATCGTTGTTTTACGCGATATCGTTCTTTTTAAAGATATTTAAGTTCTATGACATCCTATATAGCACCGGAAAGCATAATAATCAGTGACGGTTTTTGCTTATCACGCTGTTTTCTCTTTTATTAGTAGTCAAGCGTTCTACACTGTTGGTTTACAAAACACTGTCATCTTCACATCTGAAGTTGACATCCTTTATGTGGGAAGTGCCATTTTTTAAAATAAAAAGCCATTTTTAAATAGAACTTTCGGCTATAAAGTGTAGCTACATGCTACACACATCCAGGGCCTTTTCGAGTTTTTGATATCCGATACAGGGCGGATATTAAGTGCTATTTTTTTTAAGAGCAAACGTACCCATCTCTGGAGCCAGGACTCGAAAGTGATACCCAAAATATAATAATACTATTTTAGAACAACAATAGAAACATTCTAACGGTATATATGCTTAGCCATTGGCAAACCAAAAACGAGAAACAAGACACGATAAAGACCGTCATCCCCTTCGAAAAACCCAATAATATCGTTATAAGAGTAGAAATCGATGTTAATATATATATATATACTGCGCCCTGTAGCGAATGATCCGATTCTAATCTATGCTTGCTCGTTAGGCTGTGTAGGCATTTCGGTAACTCCAGCTCAGAAAATCTGGTAACAACCCATCTTTATTCACTACTCCGAGAAATGGGTCCTCCTCTCATTTTGGCTGGTTTTAAGCGTTGTTATCGCGAGTATTTAAAATGAACCACCGTTCAGAGTAGTTCTCACATACACTTACTTCATTTACTTAGCTCCCGTTGTGCGCTTATATATTACGTGCGTTGTCTCTAGATAGAACACAACAGTGCTGTGTAATCTAGCAGTAATATGCGTACTTGGCAATCGCTCAGTAATAAAGTTCAAGAAGTTCTCCGCTTTTACGCTGAATATCGCCGCGTCGACCCCTCACTCTGAACAGGTGTGACATTCATGGGTATATCGCAAAGCAGACGTTCTATTGCAGCTGTGATCGTACCTGACCTTCTACCCTGACTCCGTGCTGGCTCCAATGGACTTGATGATTACTTTGATACGTTTTCTATGAAATGCTTCCTCTGTCGTGAGATGAGAAGCGCTATGAGAAGTAATATAGCCGAAAAAGTGCGACACCCGGGTAAAGTTTGAAGATCCGAAAGATCATTTATATGGCTGCATATGAAATGTAAACGTAAACGCTGACAAAAAATCACAAGACTGTATACAACAGATAATCAAGGCCAATAGCACTGATTCACCTTTAGACAAGGCAAAGGTATAATCAATCGTCGCGGACGTACTCACGAGATCGTTCAACATACTGGGACTAGGACCTATAAACGAGATGATTCGGAGCGGAAAACAGTCCTACGAGCCAGCGAAAATTAATAAATAGACGACGACAAATGCAATAGGCCACCAAATCACGTAGTTGTTGAACACCCGATCCTCATCACCTAGCAACACAGGTGGCTTTACGGTAGGCGGTTTAATTGCATTACTGATCCTATAGCACTGCTGGAAATCTTATTGTGACATTCAGATGGAAAAGAATACATGCAATCGTAATGTGTGTTAAGTGCATGAATACAAAAAGCAACCCGTGGATCCACGGAGTTCTCGTGAGACATCCAGGTTCTGTGTTCAGGATCTTTCCGCATTTCAGAAGCGTGGTTTCGCATATGTTACTCCGCCAGTCGACATCGCGGTTTCTGCGGTGTTCTGTCTTATCTGCTTAGAGTTACGTTTGTAGTATTTAAAAACAAAGGGTAGTTCACTACAGGGTGCGTTGAGGTAGTTGAATGAAGATTTCTATCGCAGAAACAATTATGATTTGTCCCTGCAGAACAGCAAATAGAGAAAAACTGTTTGCTTTTCGCGTATCGGTGTCATGTAGAGTCTAAATAATTCAGTCTAAATAAATAAATCGAAATGACAGCCCCCAAAGTAGACAAAAGGTAATACTACAACAAGTACACTGAAAAAAACTGACGCGGACAATATATTCTATTAAAAAAAATTTCAATAATTTAACTAACATACACAAGTTAGCTTTTAATGGATGTGTTACGTGCAAAGAAGTCTTGATAAACGAATTTCTAAGTTTCTATATAATGCTGTGCTAGATAGAATTTTCTTACACTTTACAGAATACATAATAAAGACTTGCCGCACACATATTATAAATTAAGGTTATCGTCTTCTATAATTTATTTTTTGAACAATGTCTACAGGTAGACGATATACATGTACATATATCGTCATTATCATTATTTGTTGTCCTTACGATTACTGTTATAATTAATATTATCATTACTGTAATTACGATCGTGTCCCTTATTATATTGTTCCACTCTCATTCAAGCATGCAATAGTTCTCCATTAACCTCAATACCATATAATCGCGGTCTCTATATCTTTATGGATCATTATTATCTTCGTTACCTTCAAAGCTCATCGTTCCTTTTATGTCCTCCTGCAATTACCAGTTGTGTCACACTAAACACGATTGAGTCTCGTTCACATTTACAGTAGGTCCAATACAGAGACGAGTCTTAACTGCTATATAATAACTAAATATATGCGTCCTTCCACCATAAACGAAGGAAGTGCGAAGACGTTCGCCCGGAGAAACAACGAGGCCTGTGAAGCACTTGTCAAGAAAAACGGTTTTCTTACGCGTTTTTTCTTACTGAGGAAATAATACAGCAACCGCTTTTGCCAGTATCTGTATTCGAAGTTATCTTCAGACACGGAAGGTGTTAAATGTGAACAAACCGTGCGGTTGCTGTAAAACTGTTTTACACCGTTCATATGTGAAAATTCGAGCATGTTGTACAAATCAGTCATTATCAGTTTCGTCGAGTTCTGATATTCCTGGGCATCGAATCTCATATTTGTTACTAAAGTTCTTTATAGGAGCGCAAAGCAGAGAATTGTTACATGGTATGTGTATTTCATAAGTTATCTATAGTTATTTCACAAATGGCCAAGAATTGTTCCAAGGTCTACGCACAAGTGTTGTTCTCTCTATTTAAGATTAGACTTTACCCATTCTTTTTATGGATACGGGAAAATGAATTCGTTCTATTCATGCGATTCATTTTCACGTACAGTCTTATGCTCTTACAGATGGATGGCCGCCTACTTCTAGCACGTTATATAATTGTACAACCAGAAAATTCTATCGCTCTTTCAACTCTACGTACTTTAGTACAGAGAAGAGTACTCACGAAAGGTCCTCAGTGAGTCTACGTGGATTAATAAGTATAATCACTTGCATTATTGAATATTGACATTAGCAGCGTTTCTTCGAACTACTTACTTCGAACTTAGCAACACCGAAAAAAAAAAAAGCCCACCCCTTTGGACGCCATAGCTCATTCATCACTTCAGATAGCTTTGTCTCCCTTCATCCCCAGCGTCCGTATGTCACTTTGTCAATATCGCCAATCTACTCAATTTTAAATCTGTTCAAGTAATAGAGTTTCAGATTTCTCATATCTATGCAAGGAACTTTACATGAAACGCTCAGTCTTATGTTTCGCCTATTTCGTTCATTAATTTCGATTGAAGGCTTAATAAGAACCCAAAACCCTGATGCCTATTTTCAAGATTGTTACCACGTTTTTCTGCGTTTACAGCGGTCTCGCTTGAAAAAGTTACAGTTTGTAGTTTCTAAAGAACTTAGTCAAATAGCCAGCTCGGATAGTTCTATTAGGTTCATAAAACTCTGTTAGCTTTCACCTGCTCTTCTTTAGCACAACTGCTCGGTTTCATCAACCATTGTTTCCCTGTCTTACAGTCTCTGCGCGCAAGATAGTGATCTAACGATTCTAACATTCACAAATTATTAATGACTTCATTATTATTATTATTCTGTTAATAATATGATAAAATCCGATATTCGCTCTTAATAATATACCATTTGTCCATCATTTTATTGTCATTGTTTCGTTCTTGCGAAGTTTCTGTATAAATAGCGTATCTTACAAAACGGCCCTTTACAGTCGCAGCGTTACCTGTGACCGTGCTGCGAATAATGCAATCCACGCAACGCTAGATTACATATATAGTTAATGCATAGGACTATCTATATATGTATTAGTTATTATTAGCCAGTGGTTCTCTTATGCCTGAATTACGTTTTGATCTCTTCCTTTCGTTTGCTCAAACAGTAGCAAACTCCCCCCCCCCCCCCCAAAAAAAACAACATTCAATTTCGAATGTTCGTGCTCAACATAAAAACTGCAGCAGTCACTCGACAAAAACTGGGGGTTCCACCCCGTGGAAGGCGTAAGACGCGCTCTAAAAAACCTCCTATATAGTCATAGAAACATGATGATGATGAGAGTCGGAAGAGGGAGCTTTTTGCAGAAATTTTTGAGCCGATTCCTGTTCGTTTTTACAGAAACGACGCGTGATATCTAAATAGTTTCAATGATCAATGCGAAGGCTAAGTAGCCCTATACCTCAGCATTCAGAGAGCGCATACAAGCGTATTGTCTATACAAATTCTATACGTAGCTAATGAGATGCTCTTTCATTGATTCAGACGCGATTACGGGATTGCTAAATTTCTGATAAAGTCTTCTCATGTTTTCAAAACAGTTCATGCAAAAACAGTTCCTTGCAAGACTTATCAGTAATATAAGATAGACAGAATTAACATCTTTATGTATCGTCGCAACAAAGTGATGCAGTAATGAGTTTGCTACAAGCTGAAATGTTTTACGTTTGATTCGTGTAAATGATAATTAAAGGTATAAATTCAATTCAGTGCTAAATGGCAGTACCACTCATAATAAATGATTGTTCCGGTAAACAAGAGATTCTTAAACAATGGACACACATTTATGGTTTTCGGTACAAAAAAGGTGCAACCCTAGTTTTCAAATGAAAAGCCGAATTTCTCCCAAATACGTCAAAAATCTTTTGTAGCAGTGAACTACCACACATGACCGATTCAGTGACAGGCGCATAGACCAGTGGCTTAAGTATCGTGGGGCAGAATTAATACACCATTATTTACATGTAAATATTATATATGATCTATAGAAGCACAACATTTTTAAAAAGGCTAGTTGTCCTAAAGTACAAAGATGGGTTAAACGACAACAGGCGTAGGCCTATATGCCTGTTATGTTCTCGCGCGCCCGAGGCTGGGGAGTGAGGTCTAAAAAAAGGAGATAAAACAGAAATAAAACGTAAACATTTTCTTGGGGTGATGTCGAGCAATAACAAAGTAAGCTAACAGCTCTAGTATGTGTGCGTTATTTACTGAAGCACACGCAAGTTGTTATAGCTAAAGATGACCAAATGTTGAAGCTGAACAGCGAGACATATAATGAATTGATGTATGATTAAGTCATTCCCGTGTGAACTGCCTGATGACGCCTCATATGCATATAGTCCATCCTTGTGTTAGCATGTCTCCTTCATATTTAATTATGTGGCATCTACATTGTCTTTGCGTATCTACCTTCAAGAATGTACAAGGCCGACGAGCTAGCAAGCTGCCATTCATTTCATTGACCTTAAAGAAATGGAGAGGTAGAAATTCTTCAGATGTTTTGCCCTAGTGGGCAAAGGCTTCAGCACTTTTAGCTCTTCCAAATGTGTTCGCCAGATTTATAAGTGGCCCTCTTCGATTTATATTCTTCTGGACCATCATTATGGAGAGTTTCCCTTTTCCGTCGAACATGGGTTTTTAAAGGCTTACCACTAATAACTAGTTGATCTGTTGAACTGAGTGGTGATGCCAGATTACGGTTTGTTGGTAATCGTTGGTAAGTGTGTGTGTGTGTGCCAGTAATACGGCACTGGCTCACGTACCCACTCACTTGCCCATGAGATTGCCAATCGACGCAACAGAATCCATGTCCTCCGCGTTCTCCCCTTGTTGCAGTATATTCGAGATGCTGAAATGCTCCGAAGGTCCTTTTTCTTCACTGCCACTGGCTGTTGACACGGCAACAGGTTGAGCCACGGCTTGTGCCTGTGGCCCGCTCGGGCCCCATTCTGCCGCGAATGCGTCTCCGGTAAAAGCCACACCAGAGTACGCGGCTGAAGGGTAACCTGAAATTGGAGCAAGAAAAATGCTGAATCAATAGAAATATTTACTATCAATAGACGTTATTATTTTTAGTAGGATTTTAAGAGTGAATTTTCTAGGGCACTTGTGAAGGGTGCGTAATTTTTTTCGACAGAAAAAAGCAATAACTTTCAGACTCCAAAAAACATGCGATGGTACACTTTCTGAACAACTCTTACCGTATAACTCATATGTTTTTCGAAACAAAGCTGCCGTCACCACTGGTTTAACGCAATCTAACAGCACAAAAATTAACTTGGCACATTGTTTGCAATCTCAACGTTATAGCTACTACTTTTCTACTGTAAACCAGCTATCCAAGACATACTGAACAAAATATTTTAGACGCCTGTGTCATAGGCGACTATGTAGATGTCACATTTGCGTCATCTTACTTACCGGGTGGCAACTGGGGGTGGTAACCATACGATGGATGTCCGTACCCGTACCCAGGGGGTGGCTGGTACGCATATGGTCCAGCTGGTCCAAGTTCACCTCCGGGTCCGACACTACCAAAGTGGCCCGGAAATGTGGGTCGTAGCGCAGCTCCGTTGTTGTGATGAGCCAGACCAGGATGCGCAAGGGGATGGTGGGCCGAGTAGCCCGGTGGCAAAATCTGACTGCTGGCAATTGCTGATCGCGTTGAAGGGCTGTTACCCGTCGAAATTGCTTTCGTCGGCGCGGTCCCGATATGGACAGGAAGAGCGTGCGACTTTGAGGGCGTTGTCGCCTGGTGTCGGCTAACGGGAGCGGGCAAAATCTGACCGCTAGGCGATGAGGCGATGCCTGCTACTTGAGCAGCTGCTGCTGCTGCTGTTGTGATCGTGGAAGCGGCGGAAGCTGCGGCTTTAGCAACAACAGCAGCAGAAGCAGCTGCAGCTGAGGTGCTCACCTTCACCGGAGATCCTACGGCCGCCTTCACTGGAGCGGGTTTCTGCTTCTCCGAAGCAGGCTTCAGCGTTTCCGGGACTGCCCGAGGTACGATAGGAGTAACTTTCATCCTAGCTTTTCCCTCGGTCAACTCCGACTTCGCTGGCTCGAGATGAGGGGCTAGTTTTTTATCCTACATAAGCAGATAATCAGATTATTGAAAAGTCACGCCTAGTTGTCGCATATATGGCAGTCAGGGCTAGAACCCAAGTTCATTATTGGCATCCAAATTTGCTTTGCATTTTTAGTTAAATCTCGTAGTCAATGCCCAATTCGAATCTCTATATTTTAGCAATATACGGTTGTATATTGAACTATATTACTTTCTCTCCATTGGTAGTATCTATAAATGTTACTATCTTATTAAAACTGAAGAGGCAGGTTTGGCTGGGAAATTTAAATACGACAACAACAACAATATTGGGTCAATATATCTTATGACTTTGTAGACCGCAGCTCAGCTATAGCTATGTCCACACCCAAACTCAATCACTGCCTATTCTTTATTTTTCTGTCTGTACAAACTTATTACATACGCAAATCAACTTGCAACTAGCTCCATATATTTTTACCACAGCACTCATGAATCTTTTTAAGAAACTCCAGATAGGTGCAGTAAGACCGACTTCGGTTTCCTTTTTATTGTAGTAGATGCTTAAAGCTACATCTAAAAAGAGTTTATTCTAAAAAGTTTGAATACAATAAAAATTGTGGAAAGTGTATACAAAGATGTGGAGCATCAAACGGTTTTTCCTTCTCTCCCCCACCGCCATCAACCTTCAAGTATTACTAACCTTCTTTATGTTCGCCATCAAATGGCTGGGCAGTGGAGGCCACGCTTTCACGCCTTCATCCTCATCTTCATCAATTTCATCGTCATCCTCATCTTCATCTAGATCCTCGCCCTCATCATAGTCATCGTGATGAACGAGTCGCTCGCGCGCTTTGTTCGCTTCGGCTCGCCCGTTCGTCGTTCGCCGGGACGGATCAGCCTTTTTGTCACCTTCCTTATCCTTAGCGTTGCTCTCAGCGGCAGACTTTGCAGTGTGCTCCTTGCCGTCGTCGTTTCCAGCACCAGCTGTATCATCGATGTCTTCCTCTTCGTCGATGTCTTCGCCGTCATCATCGGATTCCAACCTGTTCCGGGACTTTTTGGCGGGACCTTTCGGCTGTTTTCTACTTGGACCCCATGAATCACTGTCTTCTTCATCCTCGACGGAATCGTCATCGTCGCTGCGCTTCTTCCGTTTGACGGTCTTGGCGCTAGCAGACAACGATGACTTCCCTTTGTTAACCTTTAAGGAATCGCCGCGACTCGTTGTGGACAACGTGGTTTTCGTGAGCTTTTCTTTGCGATCCCTCTTGTCTTTAATTTTTTTACGTTCTGTAATGTTGGCGAAAAAAAAACACGGCAGTCTTCCGTTAGACATGCTTGGTTATATTTAAGTGTACAGGATAATTTGCTGAGTATAGCAAGACAAGCTAGAAGTTGTAGAATTGGAATAGAGCTGAAACTATGAAACTGTAGTTAGTAAAAAGCTTTTTTAATTACTTATTTGATCATAAACGTCACAACAGTTTGCTTCTTTATTTCAATAATTTTTTGTCTCACAAAATATCTATAATTTAATGCGTGTGTCTCCCACAGAATAAAAATATAATAGGGTAATTATCATGGAACGATATATGTAGATTTACAAGACGTTTGCATATAATTTATTTTTACATTTTTCTCCGCATTCGTTCATGCCTTGACTCCACTCTACACCAATGAAGCTCCACACCACTTGCCTTTTTCCGCTCGTTTCTTGCTTTTACCCTTCTTCCGTCGGGTAACATTTCCATCTGAATCCTCTTCATCGGAGTCATCCGAGTCGCTGTCGTCGCTATCGCTTTCATCGTTGGAGGCGTCTTCATCTGAGAGCTCATCGTCATCATCCTGTTCCTCGTCTGAGTCGCTGTCCTCCAGAGCCACTTCCTCATCCGATTCAATTACCTTTCTGCGTCGCGATGGTTTTTCAGCTTTTTCCTTTTCGGACTCGTCGCTGCTTTCCGCATAGTTGACCGCCTGCCTCTTGCGAGGCTTGCAGAAGTCGCCTGAATCGTCGCTCGAGGCCTTGAAGCTTTGGGAAGCTTCGCTATCGAAGTCGTCCCATCGTCCACCTTCTATAAGAACCGGAGAATCATATGGAGAAAAGCCGCAAATTGTAGTAGGTCTACTTTGAAGTATCTTGCCTTGTCCTGGCGAAAATGTGTTACGACCTTGTCGCGGCAGAGCACAACAAACCGAGTAAAAGTTAAGAGAAGACCTCAGCTGTAGGTGGCCCTCGGTATATGAAGCAACTAAGAGGTACACGGCTGCGTAAGATCAGTTAGTAATACAAATATGTCGAAAGTTTGAAGTAGAAGGTTCATTCCTCATGATATTCCTAGTCTGATAAGGAAACAGTAAGTCTGAATTCTGCGATGGCTTCCTTAAAAGATAAAAACGGTAGAATGGTAGTAGACAGGTACCCTTGAGAACATTTTGGTTAAGCTGGAGTTCTTTTGTCTTGAAGAAATTCATATTTTCTAAACCATCAGTGACAGGGTAGATAGGGCGCCGAATTCGCAATCATGGATTCCTGGCTTCGATTCCGAGCTGAGCACTCAAGGATTATCTCAAATGATTTCAAGAATAACGGTGCAGTTAGTAAATAACATTCACAAAGTTTTTATTCATAATATACTTTAAATCGGTTTTCATGGCACCACAGTACTCTTCCCAATTTTAAGGAAATCGGTCCTAAAAATCTTAATTACTATGAAAAGTTCTTGATGCAAACAGCACGCGTAAAGCGCATCATTTATTAAACATATAACCCAATCTTTCGCCTGCTTTCTAATTAGCTGTTTCTGTAGCAGCACTTACTTTTAGAAGTCTTCTCTCTAACGAAGGGGTCTCTTTTCCTTCGGCTGCTAGATTTCCTACCGCTGCGAATATTGGCTCGTCCCCAAGAAGCATCTGACAATGCTTCCGAATCTTCCATATCGTCAGAGTCGTATCTGCGTCGTCTACTTCCACCCCCGGTGCGACCTTTTTTTCGGCGGTTTACCTCGATTTCGCCGCTATAATCCGATGCTTGGAACTCGGAGTCATCGTCCGCTGATTCCATGGCGTTTAAATCGCTCAACTTTGATCTTCGTCGACGGCCGGTTTTCTCAACTTTTTTCTCTTCATCAGAATCGGGTAAAATATTCGACATATCTTTCCCGCTACGCCCTATAGTAGCCGGAAACACAAAATAAAAAGCGAAAAAGTTAGACAGGTTAGACAACGTATTATAGTTAGAAAAACCCAACGAGAAATCGTTGCAAGGTCATATTAGCCTCATCTTAGTAAAACGACCAGTCAACAAATGATACCTAAACGGTCTCTCTTTAAGATATGTATCGGATGTTGGGAAGATAGGTATTCATAGGGAATGACAACATAAAATGGTTTCTGCTCAGCAAGTGGCTTAAGCAAGTTGGCGTTTGGCTGGCATTTTAATATCTACTTTGTTAGCGACTTAACGAAAAGGCAGGTAAAAATGATCTGCAGGAGCCAGTTATTTTCACCACTTTAGAATGGGTAGAAAATAAACTCCAGTCATACGTTGGCCAGTTAAATCGTATGTACGGCACTCCAGGATCAACCTCACGACAAATAAACCAACGATTCTTACTTTTGACGTTCTGTGTCCGTTCCTCTTCAATCTCTTCGTCGAATTCATCATCATCGATGGCTTCCTTCATTAATTTGTCGTACTCAAGCATTTTTTCACGCATGGCGTCACCTTTACGCGCGGCCCGTCTTCGCCTGGGTGCGTTCGAGCTTGATGCTGAACTTCCCGAACTGTCACTGTCATCCGACGAGCTATCTACTTCACTTATCTGCAGAAGGAATAAAGCAAATATTACAAACGCTAGGTTCATGTGTATGTGGATATTGGTAACACTTCATAGTAACCGTTAGAACAACCAAGCACGAAACTAGCGAGAATGCTCCCAGAACTTCGCCTTTTAGCAGCGGCAACAAATTTAGCAATAATAACACGAAGAGTCAAACGATTTTGCTTTTATTCTTTTGTTTTACTTATTAATTCAATAGCATTTTATATATAAATATGAAATGCTACAATAGGACTTTTCAAATGTGCCGAAGGGCCTATATCACAAATAAGACTTAGAACAGCTTTCAACTTAGTCGACGCCTGGAAATAGCTAGGTGTAGCTCTGGCTAAAAGTCTGTATTAATTGCACTCACAATTTATTCAAATTTATCATCCCGCTTACATTTATAATATGAGCACATAGGTGCCTTGAACATAGTCTAACCTTTTGTCTATCTTTGTATATACTTAAGCATGGCATGATAAATTATTGCTAGGTTACTGCTTGTCTACAGACAGAGAGCTACTTAAACAAGTAACCCCCGTTTCACATGAAGACACCCACTACACCTGTACTCGAGATGATCAAATCAGTATCATTAAGAGACATCCCCACATAACTGGGGCTATTATCGAAAAAGAAAATAGTTAAAGGCTATGTTGGGAGTCGCAAGGCCCAGCGCGCGCACCTCAGGGCCTCCCTAAAAGTAGTGACGTTCGAATAGAGACTCCATAGCTATCGAGAACAGTGAGTCGCACTTCAGACCAAGAAGCGTCGGCGGTGGATAAAGGAAAATGTTGCAAAAGCAGTTTCACCAGTTTCATTGTACTCACATCGCTTTCGTCGTCTTCGTAGCGCTCTGTAAAACTCTTTTTGGCAACTTCGCGCTTTGTTACAGGCAGTACGTTGCCTATGTTGATGGATACGAAAGCCAAACGTTGCTTGCGGGTGATTTCCTTTTGTCGTTTCTCCCACTCGGACTCAATATAATTTATCTGAAGTGACAGAGATGCAAAATGTTCTATGTACGAATTGTGAGTAATCGGTCAGTTGGTCCGTCACGCCAAAAATGAAATTTTAAGGAAAATCGAACAATATCGAAATACATTTGGATTACTACAGAATTAAGCGGACAGAAAATGTTATAACATATACCACCTTTCTAAAGCCCCCTCACGCTGTTACTAATTAGTTTTAGCAGCAGGAATTTTTATTGTTTTCGTTTCCATAGATTTAACAATGAACATAGAGACCACTAGAATAGTAAATAAAAATAAAATTAATTATATTATTAGATGCCGCTAATAGTATTTTACACACAGTTTTTAAATAAGTTACGGACCCATCATGCAGATTGTTCAAACTACCCAATTAACAATACATAATCTATCAAAAAAGTAAAGTGTCACCAAAACACATTCATTTCTTTATCATACATTACCAACCTTTGCATCCAGTGCAGCTATAAGCGCGTTGTGTTCACATGGTGGGCAGTACCAGTTGCCAAGAGGGATTACGAGAAGCGGTGGCCGAAGACAATTCATGTGCCACCCAGCGTCACAAGTGTCACACAGCAAAATAAACTCGGGATGGTCAGACTTCAAACAGCGTTTACATGCATCAGCGTCATCGTGTGTCGCTGTCCGAGCCTTTTTCACCTCCTCAGCTTCGAGTGTTCCATCGGCAATATCTTCATCGCAAGCGAACTCGTCTTCATCGTCAGCACCGAACTCCATTTTGTCAGCGTCATCATCCTCGTCATGGCCATAGATTAGCTCCTCAACAGAATCCATGTTGTCGTCGTCATCTTCCGAATCGTCTGCTGCGCCTTTTCTACCGCGTTTCTTTTTGCCTTTAAGCTTTTTCATGAGTTCCTTGTGGGCTAGCTTCTGCGCTTTGATCATTTCACGGGCGGCTTTGCGCGCAGCTTTCGCATTGATTCCGCCCACGGCGCTGAATACAATTTCTTTTTCTTCTTCCTTATCAGCCTTGCTTTTACGTTTCTTCTTCTTGGACTCGTCTTCCGAGACGGGAATTTCGTATCTGAAATTACAGAAAATTATGCTCAGCATTTTATGATGATGGGCTGAGTTGAGTGGACTGAATTATTATTGGGAAACATAATCTAAGAAGGAGAATTTTCAAGTGCTTTGTGCGTACTGTCGCATTATAATTGCCTAACCATGCAGGTTAGTAAACTTCACTACATCCAATATGCCTCGCACACTTGATATGCGAGCCATATTGGATATATACTGTACATACGATCTGTCCAGAATACTTACTTTTCAACAACTTTTCTTGCCCGACAGCTTCGCCGAGGTCGACAACCGAACTCGCCATCTTCATCATCTTCTTGAGCCCGACGGCGCTCAGCTTCCTCCAAAAGCATTCGAGCTTCACGGGACATTTTGCCACGTTTCTATATGATTATGGAAGCAAAAATGCATGCCCGATGATATCAACAAAACAAAGAGCATTTTGTTATTAACACTTGTTTGAGGTGACTATTATTTGTAGAATGACGATGACGTCGAATTTCTAGAATGGACAAGTCAATTTGGTTTGGAACTGTAATATCTATCTATTATACACGTACTTCCAACAAGTTGAGGTTTGATACTGATCATGTTTTGTCAATAATATAACGTAGAGCGTTAAAAGAAAACTAGAAAAAATCGATGATATTCTTGTTCTCTAACTTCTAAATTTAATTACCCATGTCGCTCCGTTCCACCAAAGTTGTAACCATCCAAAAATTTATGGGAGGCTTACTCTGTCTGAAAACATTAAGAACAACATGATCTTTTAAAATTAATCTACCTTAGGCTTCTCTTCGACGTTCTCCTTTTGTATTTCTTCATCATCCTCGTGGCCAGTTCCATCTTGGTCACCGTCGTCTGTTTGTTTCTTCTTTTTTGGAGGCTTTGGTACCGCTGGTTTTTTCGTAACAGCGGGCTTACCCTTGGCCTTGCCTCGACCTCTACCCTGACCTTTTCTTGGCCTACCCCTCCCACGTTTTTTGGGTTTCGGCTGCTCTTCCGCCTCCTCTTCCGCCAGTTCGTCCTTATCTTTACCGCTTTCTTGTGTAACTTTTCTAGTGGCTTCATCATCTTTCCCTTCTAGGTTTTTATCGATGGTGCTATCGTCTTCTGCCGCCACTTGTGTTAGATTTTCGTCTACTTGCTCGTCTCTCGCGGACGACAATGACGATTTTTTCAAATATTTAGGTGTCTGCTTTTCTTGAACATCAGTAGCATCGTTTGTTGTATTGTCCTCTGTCTCGCCATCATTTACATCATCGTGCTGTTCAATTCTACTAGACTTTTCTCTGTCCTTTTGCCGAGACACGGGAGAGTCTGTAGTATCCATTAGCTCCTCTTCGTCGTCGCTGTCAGCGCTCAACTCTTCAGCCATTTGTCCGTTTCCCTTCTCATCTCCACCCTTTTTACTTCTTGCTTTCTTCGTGTCTTCCACTGGTATGCCCTCTAAATCGGCTCGTAGTTGTCCACCAGGATCTTCTCGGGAATCGCCACCACTGTCTACTATTGCTGCTGCCGATGTTGTCGTCTTCTTTTCGCTGGTCCGGAGATCCTCAGCGGCATGGTGACTCATCTCTTTGTCATCTTCATAATCGCCGTCGCTCTGAGGCTTTTTGGGAGGCACAGGCGGCGAATGTACAGCGGTTTGCGGTGCGGCGGGTAGTCTCTGTTCCTGCTCGTGTGGCGGGGTGGGCAGATGAGGGAGGGAGAGATCTGTGGCCTTTGCATCTTCACACTCTTCGTCGAAGCGCTCTTCAGCAACGTCGGCTGCTAGGGGCTTCTTTTCCTTAACAGCTTTTTCCTTGTCTTTATCGGCCCGCTCGATAACTACTGCCATCGAGAATGCTCCCGCTGAGGCCGAGTGCGCAGCTTCCGGTTGGCTCCCGTCAACTACAGAAGAGGCAGTTAACGATTCTGTCTTGACACACGGTTGGGCGCAGTGCGCTTCATTTTCGAGTTTTGAGACAGGAACTTTGGCAGACACCGGGTGACCTTCACCTGAGGATCGGGAACTGTCACTTTGACGAGTGCACAAATCTTCGACAAGTTCCTTTTTATCAGAGCCGGGCTCGCTTTTCACCACTGATGTGGTATCGGCTTCAGTGTTGGTTTCTTTTTTTAGTTTGTCAATTCGGGGCTTTGCGTCGATATTCTCATCTTTGATTTTTTGTTCTGCTTTAATTTCTATATCAACTTTTATCGCAGAGACGATGTTGGCTTTTTGGTCTTCTTGCTTTACTGCTTCGTCAGTGCTTTTTGGTGACCTGCAGAATAAACCGCAATCTAGTTAAAAACATACATAGCCTGTTTATTCCGCATCAACACAAAAAGCAGGTTACTACTAGGAAAAATTGACAGTGCTAAAATAAGTAGCCAAATCATTAATATGAGTTGAATTAGAAAAATTTCAAAAGCAACGATCACCTTCATACACCGAACAGAAAAGTTGGCATTACTTTTTGCATTTCTACATATAATATGGCCGCGTAATGTAAAATGGAACATAGCTCATTTCGGCACATATTAAGTAATTGTTATGCTTTTAATTATTTTTCTTTTAGTACCGCCAGGTAGGAACTGAAAAAATTCGTACTTACAAGAACAGAGATAAGATATGAACACATAATAACTTTAACGCTTGACCGTAGCTCGCCCTATATTGAACTGAACACTGACTTCTTCACAACAATGAAAAACTAATTAAACATATAATTAACTAACTATAATAACTATTATGACAGCTATAACCACATAATTACTTACGAAACCAACACAACTGCTCCCTTATAAACACTGACAATATTACTTCTATTCAGGCTAGGACAGGAGACCACCATCATCTATATTACAGCTTCCCTTCTTCCTAATTGAGCTATAGTTCTGTTAGAGATGTAAAAACTCACGGTTCGCTGCTGCTCGTATTATTGCTACTTGCGGGTTGCTTCTGGAAATTGTCGTCCTTCAGTTTCTTGAGTTGTGCGAGTAGGTCAGCGAGTTCTTCCTTTGTTTTGTGCAGGAGATGAAACGAGCTCTCATCATCTAGATCCTCTATGTACATTCGCACGTTGAGATCCTCATCAACTTGAAGCCAATACACGATTCCGTCTGCGTCTCGACCAAGGGGTAACATACGTAGTTCTTCTGGCGAACGGTCGTTAGCCTGTGATTTGAACTTCGAATTAAAATCAAACTGCATCTCAAGTAAGTTTTTGAGGATGTGCACCTTTGAGACAAGATCGAGCTTCGCATAGCCGTGCTCCATGATTTGTACGACGAGTTGGTGATCGTATGGAATGAGGTACATTTCGCAATACTGTAACGAAGTGAAATATTTGAAGAGCACAGCATATACAATCAATTTTCATTAGTTGCTTGTTTCTATATGTTTTTTCATGTCACGTACAAAAAGGATTTTATCCCTTAGTATATAAAAGCATACTAATGCTAGAATACGTTTCAGGCGGCGGTTGCAAACCAAATCTTATATTGTATATAAAGTGACACTTATATTCTATGAAGTGTCACTTCGAACTGATTCTGTGCAAAAGACGTTCAGAATGGGTAAAAGCATACAGAATAAAAAATGTGGATAAAAATAGGACGACAACCTACCCTAGCGAGATATCTGTCGAAACGATTTTTTGTAGCGGACGTTACAATTTTCCTCAATAGCTTTATGTGAATGTCGATGAGCTGTTCAGACACTGTAAATAGATCAAACAGTAAGTCAAAATAGATCATTTTACATGGTAAATAGTTTTTTTTTCCGAACAAATGATAGCTATTTCCACTGTAGAAACAGCTTCACAAAGCATAAAACTTTTGTTTTTATAAGTATTACCCAGTATTCATTATTTTACTTATAATATTCCGCAGTCTCCAAGGGGCAACTTGGATGTTTAGTTTATTTTGCTTAATACGCAAAAGATTGCTGTTTCTTTCTTCTTCGTCTATCAAATTTTGTTTAGCAAATGTCGAACTATTGGTTTAACTACTTGTCCTAGCATTCCAGATTTATTATGAAGATAAATATTGTTTTGGTGAGCAGAAAATTTGGAAGCTAAGCTCCACACAGCTTTGTGGAAGTAAACTAACTTACTTGCGTTAATGATTAATAAACAAAATTGATAAAGACTGGTCTATCTCGTATTATTGGTTAAACACGAGTCTGGATAATTTTTTATGCAAATTAATATAGCTACCTGCTGAAAGCACATATTAAGGAATTATATAACGCTATATTGGTAACAGTTAATGAACTCTACAGACAACTCTCATTTCCGAAAGTGAAACAACTTTCTCTCTAATGTCGAGTCATTTTCTACACAAGCAATTAATACAACGAAACAAATGACAACAAGCTCAATTACATCATGCAGCCTCCCCAACGCATATCAGATGGTTGAAAAAACCAGTTAAGCGTTTAATGATTATCATTTAGCACCGTAATTACGTGCGCGACAAATCACTTGAGTCCTTTTCTTAACGACACGTTGTCAGGCGGCATCATCCTATTTTGATAGCCCCAGCCCCTGGGACAGTCGATTTCTGTTCATCTTTTCTTTGCGCAGAAAGGAATCACTGACAGTGCTTGAAGCGTACCTTTCTGTTCCCTGCGGGCGTTTTACAACAGCAGCAACGTTTCTCAATGCTACCACAGATGTTTACCGGTCAGCCGCTTTAGCGCACTCGAAGACACTGAGGCTGGACACATGAGAATGCGCTACAGAAAATCATTGGCTAGCAGCGACTATGACGGATTTGCTCTGTATATAATAATAAGATCAAGCAAAAGTATAGCAACAGGGATGCTACAGGTTGTTATATAGGAATATGTCTTTTTTATAATGTTCCGCAGCGCATAGGTCACCTGATCACTTGAGTGTCTTCAAGATTTTGGCTGTGTACAGAGCAAGATTGTAGTATTGACAACAGTAAGTTATTTTAGTAGCATTCTCTTATCTTATATATAATTAACGGTATCTAGTACATAATACTAATACATATTGTATCTAAAAGAGGTGTTTTTTCCCTCCCACAACCACTCCAATCGCTTACCGTTTCCTTGTTGTTCAAGCATAATCTGAACCTCTTTGATTGTCGGCGTGATCCCTAGCAGCGCGCCGAATCTGTCTAGAAACGAACACAAAACCGCAAAGTCCGGTACGTTGTCACAAGACATTGATGGTTCGGTAGCTACTGCTGGAACCGTTGGAACTACTGCAGCTGTCGTTGCCGCACTATCGCCAGTAGCCACTTGTTCTATTGGTATACCATCTTCTGCGACAGGCTCCGCATTAGCTGCAGCGGCATTCGCCATGACGGTTGCAGCCGCCGCTGCCGTTTCGATTCCCGCCGGAGTTTCAAGTTCAGCCGCATCAAACCCCTCCTCGTCAATTCCACCGACTTCTTCATCTTCTTCATCGTCAACTTCAGCATCTTCCGCATCATCGAAGTCAGCCGCAGCTGCTCCTGAGACGGATTCGCCATCGCCAATGGCATCGACTTCGCCTTGTTCGTGGGCTATACCTGAGACGAGGCCAACGGCTGCTGCAGCGGCCAGTGCCATCGACGCCATGGCATTATCTGCTGTCATCGATACCCCCCCATCCTGGAGAGCGGCAACAAGACGCGAAGCGGCAGACGCTGCCGCGGACTCATGACTGGGACCGGTGTTTTCCGCCTCCTCCGACATTGTGAAGCCGGGGAGGCACCGTCGATGTTGCCCGCAATGCTGCGATACTCCGAGCTATACTCCGCAATCCGGGTCGAAGCTGTGATTGGAGCTGCCGCAGTTGACCGCTTAGTACTCAATCCTGACTGATAGTTGTACTCGTCGTTGGACTCAGAAAGCAATAACAACGTTGAATACAGACGAAAGGAAGTTGAGTTTTCGCGCTCGTCACTCGTTATTAGTCAAACTTTGTCCTGTTGAACGACTGGGCGAAAAATTGGGTACATCGCTGATGGCACACACACACCTCTACGTCCTGTAAGTTCTACCTTAAACTGATCTTGACATAGGATAAACTGTGAAGCGACTGCGGCAACATAGGGGGCTTTCCCTAATCCGTTGTTTCCTTTCAGCTTATCGTTTTTGTTTTTGTTCCTCCTGCTTACGAGCACTTCAGTTGAACAATTGCAAAATACTGTCCTCACTTTTGTCTCCTTCCGTTCTATATTGTATTTCAAATCTCTGCAGTCTGTCCGCAGCACTAGTTACTTTGATATACAACAGAATTCAACGAACACAACAACACTCGACAAAACTCAATACGCCAAACATCGCTTTTGATGACATAATGAACGCTGGTTGAGATAACTCAGCAGCTCGAACACTCACACGCAACACGAATTCGTCGTCGGCACGAAATTCCACGAAAAGTCGGTTCCAACCGGCAAAACACACGCTGTCACAGTTTAACCAATGAGGAATTGGTTGCTAATCGTGTTCTTCCCGTGGGACTACTAGCTGTACTACAGTACACGGATACAGAACAGTCTCCTTGGTCGAACTGTCCCACGAACAAACAATCGAATATCGACAAAACGAACAACCCCGGAGAATCAATCAGTCAGGCTTTCCATTCCATAAATGAATAGGCAGATGATTAACAAGCACTGCACAAACAAACACAGTCAGTCTTTTTTCAACGTCGGGTTTTTTGGCCCGATCAAATTGTTTGTCGTTCCTTAACAATTCCCCCACAGACGTTCGACTATAACGAAAAATAAGACACAAACAACAAATGACGGCTAACGACGATCTGCAGAGCTACGGCTGGTGCTCCTGGCAGCTCTCCTGCAGTTGTTGCTCTGGTTATGTTTGCGACAACAGCAAATTCACTGTGGACCACCCCAGCACTTGGCTTAATATGGCCGTTTTTTGTCGTCTATCCCTGATATTCTTTTGTTAGGTTCGGTTAGAAATGAGTGCTTAGTTCATAGGATGAAACCGAGAAGCAGCACTGCGATAGTACCGCTAACTAGCCAGCAGGAAACTGAGGACAATAAACCGATGATGTACGAACCAGCCTCAGTTTCGGGTCGACCCCGTTAGAAGCGAGCTTTCTTCGAGCAGAAACACTGCGACCATTACCGCTGATAGCATAATCACTGGCAGCGGCTCCACCACCATTAACTATCTGATTACATGCAGAACACAATGCGAGACTACACGCAGGCACAAATGCAGGACGAGTCAACTCAGCTCACAGGACAATTTCGACTACTTGCCTCGATCGGGTCGACAGTTCTCGGACTCGATCTCATCAGTGTGCCTACGGCCGACAACTACTACAACAACTCCCAATCACTACAAACAACAGGCCAACACTCAACACAGCAGTAGCGGCCGCAGCCGAACCCAAAGCATTAGCAGGCAGCAGGACAAGATCGCATCACAGCGCCGCTGCTACACCCATAAGCCAGGGCTGTTGTCGTTCACAGAATCGTCGCCCTCCCCCATCAGTGGAGGAGCAACAGGGATGTATATACCGACAAAAACCGAGCCAGATGGAGCCTTCTCCCAAAATGCCGCAGCTAAAACACACATGCATAACATGGAGGATTGGCGGTAGTTAAGGCTCACGGATGGTCATAGAAAGTTCGCTATAGCCTCGTAAACCACCCGCTGTAGTTTTAGCTAACGCTGTCGTCGCAGAGATCAATAACATCAGCGCAGGGATCACTGACCGCAGCGCCTGAGTAGCGGACTAACACGTAAAAAAGATACAATCCTACTATCGGATGTGTGTTAACGATATGAGCCAGTAGTAACGAATAAATCACAGCACGGTATTATAGGGCGAATGTATAAAGACTAGTTTAGAGGGACTATACTTAGGTGATAATGGTTTGCTATGGAACCAGCGGAAATCGCCCAAACTAGAAAATTTTTGACAAAGATTGTGTAGTATCAGTTCCATTAGATAATACCTTGTAACACTTGCGACGCGTGTCCCGGCGATGATACAGTTGTAATGCTTTGAGATAACATATTTTGACTATAGCCGACTGAACCTTGCATCTTACGACTCGTCGCATAATACACAAAGGGTCTCTAGAACTAGAAGCTACGAGTCACTTCAGGCTGAAAATAAGTTGAGCAAAATCCAAAGTAGAAAGTATATTTCCATTTGAGACAGCTAATAGACTGCCTGCTTTTTCTATTAAACACCAACGTCGATCCAACATAGTTGTTCAAATTAGCCCAAATCACCAGTGTTGCCCCGTAGACAAAAATCCCGCCAGTAACATTATCATAGCAGACGCTCCTCTTTCGCTAAGCGCACGGCGGTGTAAATGACACTGTGTGACTTTGAGAGCAGGACGTGTCGCACTGCCTGTTCGGTTTTTACAGCAGCGGTTTCGAGATTTTGGTTGGTTATCGATTGGTGATTATCGAATAAAACTTTTTGAGCAGAGGTAGTTGTTCTATTATACCGTTAAGTTGCTAACTAAGCTCTAAAGAAGAAAATGTTTGCTTTTCGCAATGGAAGCAAGCTCGCTGGCATTGCTCTTCGCAATTTTTCCACCTCGCAGCGAAACAATGTTAAGGTCGCTGTCCTCGGAGCATCTGGTGGTATCGGCCAGCCCCTTTCACTGCTACTGAAACAGCATCCCGGCATCAGCTATTTGAGCCTCTACGATATTGCTCACACCCCCGGTGTGGCCGCTGATCTCAGCCACATTAACACCGGCTCGAAGGTCAAGGGTTTCGTTGGAAATGACCAACTAAAGGCTGCTCTTGAAGGTATCGAAATCGTCGTAATCCCCGCCGGCGTTCCCCGCAAGCCTGGTATGACCCGTGACGATCTGTTCAACACAAACGCTAGCATCGTACGCGACCTGGCTGACGCCTGCGCTCAAACGTGTCCCAAAGCGATGCTCGCCATTATCTCAAACCCTGTCAACTCGACAGTGCCAATAGCCTCGGAAACGTTCAAAAAGCGGGGTGTGTATGACCCCAAGCGCATCTTCGGTGTGACCACATTGGACGTTGTGCGTGCTAACACATTTATCGCCGAAGCCAAGGGACTGGATCCCGTCTCAATGTCTGTGCCCGTCGTTGGCGGTCACGCCGGTATTACGATCATCCCGTTGGTTTCACAGGCGTCCCCCAAGGTCGACTTTCCGCAGGACCAGCTTGAGAAGCTAACGAAGCGCATCCAAGAGGCGGGAACTGAGGTCGTCCAAGCTAAGGCGGGAGCCGGCAGTGCTACCTTATCCATGGCGTTCGCCGGTGCCCGATTCGTGTTTAGCCTTGTGTCGGCGATTCAGGGAAAAACAAACATCGTCGAATGCGCGTACGTAAAGTCTGACATTGGCGATGCTGGCTTTTTTTCCACCCCGCTACTTCTCGGCAAGAACGGCATGGAGAAGAACCTTGGCCTTGGCAAATTGTCGAAATTCGAAGAGAAAATGGTTACCGACGCTATGGATGAGCTCAAAAAGTCAGTCAAAAAGGGCATCGATTTCGCCAACAAATAAATTCAAAAATTTTTAGTGGAACGTATTGAAAGCGAAGCAGCTCCAATGGCAGCAACCATTGTAGTAACAACAATACGAGTGAGGATGTACCCACCATTGCCGTCAAAAAGGAGGATTGAAACAATAACTTCTACGATATTATGCAAGACTTTAGGATGCCTGTTTATCGCGCCGCTGTTGGGTCTGCAATGTTGGTTGTAACGGATCTTAAACTGAAAAATTCCCATGGGATACATAAATAGTTACTAAGTCCTGGCAGTACAATGTAACCTTTAAGGCGACGTCAAACAAAAGGGAAAAGACCGGACAAATTAAGCAAACTGTATACGGTTTACATCGAGGGGCGTGTGATGAGTTAATATTATTAGTATTATTGTTATGATAATTTTTATGTAGAAAAAAAGGACATTGCATATAAACGTGAATCTTGTTGACTGAATGACAGCCAAGTACTATACAAGTGTAAACACATAGCCAAAGTCCGGCAACGTAACGCAAATCATCATGAACTTTTTCGATTTTTGAATACACCGTTTTTCGAGTCCAATGATTAAACGTAGGAGAATCAAGATCTCGCCAATAGATCAATGACGAATTCGATGAATGCCGTGTGAAAAGTGACAGATAGTTAGCAAAACTTGATATTTTTAAGGTTAAAATTAGGTAAAAAAAAATGTATATCATTAAAAAGAGTAATAAAAACTAAACAACAACTGTCTTTTATTTAGGTTAAGATTCGAGTAGTGTCATGACAAAGCAAATTTCTCCTAGCACAGATCTATATTACACATTTACAACCTACCCGGGAAGTAATAGTGGTATTAGCAGTTACGAAAATTATTACTTGTTAAAAATATGGAATAGTTTACTATTTATTAAGCGGAAGTTTTGTTAGAAGCACCCTTTCGAAACAAACGAGAAAACTGAATTAACCTCTGTATGGAAAACTACATCCCGTTGACTATACAAACATACTTTTGCAAACAATACCTCTTGCAGAAATATGTTACCTGTAGCATCACTTCGAGCAGCGTACAATAACTAAAAGGGTTTTATTCCATACTAGACATGATTACATCAATTGGTATCATGGTAGGTTGTTAAGGGCCTACACATATATCATTCACAATAGTAATTTGCCTCTTGGTTGTGGTTGACTTTTCCTCTTGCTCCATGTATATATATATTAGCTATTATTCCAATGTGTGCACGGAAGGTGAGCCTGCATAGAGGTTATGAACTTCCTTTTTTGCCCGAAATCGACGGCTCACGTTACTGTAGGTTCCCACACAACTTTCAACAAATTCAAGGAATATTTTAAGGAGATAACGTGAAAAATTCTCAATAAAATTTTAATTTAAAGGGCTCGAGAATTTATCATAATGACCCAAAAGATATTTTTAATATACCTGTACACTTTACTTAGAAAATAATGAGTGTTTTGAAAAACAGAATATCATTTGCCGATCGGGTCATTCAGGTCAATTTCAGTGCTTAAAACTTTCCGCGCCTCTGCTCTTTCTGTACCCTTTGGTCGTTTTGAACTCTTGCATTTTTAAGAACTTAGGCCTACTACAAACCCAAAATTTAATTCCGAGGAGATTTTTTGTATATAGCCTATCCTTGTGGTTCTTCAACATATTTGCATCTACCAATACTGCTTGATGCGCACTTATTATTAAAAAATTACTTGTAGATTAAAGAAAAATCGTTTTGAGATTGAATAGTCAGTGACTTAGGCTTTGAATTGAAGACATAATCTTCGTGAATAATTTACATTATATAAGCACGACCATAACGAGCGACACTCTTAGTGTGTGTAAAACGTTTTGTTGAAGTATCTATTTTTGTTTAGCTATAATAGCATGTGTCGTTGGCGGGACTCGCAGCAGCGGTTCCTGGTGTTACTTAACCAGAAGCTTAACCGACGTATATACATGTGTATGTAAAGTAACATTACCTTGCATATTTTTTATCGAAAAAAATATATCTCCTACACTACATATGTCCTGTTTCTACTAGTCTGATTTTATATTTAATTTACTATTATTTGTCTATTTTTGGACTTCTAAATTTTCTTTAAAAAATATTTTCATGATTTTTTTGTGAAATATGATCTTTAGAATGTACAAAATCGAACTACTGATCATAGAAATATACTAAATTTTTCAACGCTCTGTAAATCTATTTGATGAATTGAGCCAGATCGGCCTGAAGATAAATAACCGCGTTTTTTGATAACAAGAAATGCCCCTAGTGATAGGCAGTTCAATTTCACAACTGGTCAGAGTTTTTTTCTCAAGCACGCTTGCGATAACTGTAAAGGACCTTATCTGACGGTCAATATTGTTTGATAAGGCTCAACCAGTTAATATTTAGGTGTAAGATGAGCAGCTATCACATTTCTCCAACTATGCAGCTCTAACATACAGTCCGAGAAACCAGTCTGTCTTGCCCTCTCATTCTCCGCTGTAGTTTAAGCTCATTCGAGGTTGTTTATTTCTCGAGTGGGTTAAGTCTTCAGCGAAGATGATTATTCGAGACCTTAGCGCCTTAAGCTCTCACGGATGACCTTTAAGACAGATGTTCACAGCGATACAGATTTAGGACAACGGTAAGGACTAAAATAATATTTTTAATGTCTCATTTAAATTTTACAGGGCGCAAAAGATTCTAAACAATGTATGTTGGCATAGCGTTAACAGGTTCTTTTGTCACACATGCGCAGCCTTACACCAGCCATATGTAGGTTCTTTAAAGACGCTTTCATGGTTAACTAAATGAGGACAAGGTGTCACTGTAGCCCCGATTACTATAGTGAAAATCGAACGTTAAGATCGTGTTCATTATTACATTTTGCTGCATATCATTCTACTGAATGTCACCGTATACGAGTACAATTCTAAATTAATTCCGCGGAGAAGCTTTAATCGTTACTACTACAATGAGCCCTCCAGCTTATCACGTGTCTACCTATGCGATGAAAGACTTAAAACAGCCGACTTGACTAGACCGTGGCGTTCTGTATAAGCGATGTTCTTATATTTGTGGAACAGATCATATGTATTTCAGTTTCAATGGTTGTAATCATGTTTCCACATGTCCTACTTTTGCCTAATTACCGCTTTATAGAAAATTATTGTTTATTCAATGTCATGTACGCAATGTCATAATCGCAGCATATTTCACTTGCAACATATTTCTAAGTCGCGTACTATGTAGTTAATGTTATTATTTCGCACGTCCATGTTATCTATCGAACATTTTACAGGGTTATTCATAATTTCGGTGGGCTATTGTTGGCTATAATTACCTTTAACTAAAGAATCAATGTAAAAGAAGTCCTGCGCCAGCTGTCGTTAAATGAAAATCTTCAATGTCAAGCGTTTTGCTATAGGCTGCTTCGCTCTTTCTGCCATTTCCCGACTTTGGATGCCCGTGGAAACCGGTCACAGCTTCCAAACCAATTTATGTAGGCTGAAAGATGACACTCACAATTTAATCGAATGCCTCGGGAATCCTAACCTTTGCGCGTTATGTAATTGATCTACGGTACCTCACCAAGCTAACTGAGTTATCTCGAGATAAATTTCTGCTGTGAAAAACGAGCATATTTCACTCAAGCTGATTTCGGAGTCCGGGCGGCTCGAAACAAGACTACAGCATTGGTCGGATGGCTGATGGTGAAACGTTATCGCTTCTCGGCCTTTTGGCTAAGATCAAAGTGTAGTATCTGTTCTTATCAGCTTAATATCTGATACGGGGGACATCGTCCCCCAAGATATTAAACTATTTTTTGGAACAGGGCTGAGTGCTCGGGGCTTGCTCCACCTCAGCCGCGGGTTGGCCTGGTATAGCACTACCTCCAGGACCGGCCCACCTTATAAAGTACCAAAAATATGTTTGTACTGGAGGGTTCTGAACTGTACTGTTGCGCGTTGGACTCTCTTTGCATGAAAGAAAAGCTGAGTTTGAAAGAATTAAAACTGAGCGTTTGTAAGCAGTCTGTTCACAGCTGGGGAAACTGAGTTAAAGGAGAAGGAAAATGATCTTTTGTCGTTCTTGAAAAATATTTAGTTCAGGAACATACGTTGGTAATCGGTTAGAAACATGGATAGTTAGAATTATTATTGCAGTCTGACTAGAATTGCTTGAAAAGATTGTTCATTTAAAATAACTTAATTACATGATGCGTGTTTAAATCGAGTTTGTTGAGAAGCTATATACGCCAGAGCTCACTAATATTATCAAGAGTCAGTTAGATGAAAATTATAGCTTAAACAAAGTTACTTCGATCTTTGATTATCTGCAAATACGCACAATTTCCTGGCGTTAAATTTGCTGACGTTCAATAGAAGCGCCTGCATGACAAACCGATACGTTTGTGGTACGTTTAGGCAGCTTTGTCTGATACTCTTTGTGATACGCTAAAGTAAATACATATCGTAAGTTGCACCCCGAGCGAGACGAAAAAACTAGTTACTAGTTGCAGCTGCTACAACATTTGGGGTGTGTGTGTGAGAGTGTGTGTGCGCGCGCGTGTGCGTGCGCGCGTGCGTGCGTTTGTAAACGTTACTGAGACCGGAGGCCATTTTTCTGACAATTGAAGCACACCTATTTTTTTCAAAATGGTGTTCTACTTCACAAGCACGGGTAAGTATCTTGACGCGCATGAATACTCAGTTCACTAATAAAATCAGTTTTTGCTAAGACTGCGAGAAAATATTGTACATATAGATAATAACAACAATAGTTTAAACGATGTTAAACTGCCTATAAGTAACGTTTTTCCACAACGTGTTTAACTAGTTAGAGTTATAATGACTGCCAATCATAAGACAGATAAGACATAGAAGTTAGTAAACATTTACTGTTTTATGGTATACCAGGCCCTTCTCGTATATTCGTTCTCGTTTGTGTCTGACTAAGCTATTTAAGGAGTGCGAGTATTTATGCGAAATCACTTCCAAAGATGAATGAGAAAAAATAAAAGAGTGTTATATTGAAGTTTAAGTTTAATATAACTATCCCATGGTAGCTATCTTCTGAATGTTTGCATACTGGTACTTTCACGAACTGTATCTTTTTATTGTCGGCTGTCTGTTTACCGATAAAGCTTATGTCTAATTTTCCGTTGTAGTATGATTTTATAATAGTTAAGTATTTATACTCAAAAGATGGTTGAGATCGTAGTGTTGTGTGTTTTAGTTCTACTAAGTAGAGACAAATTTGCATCTTTTTCTGTTTTGTTTCTATTTTGTTTGTGCGCATATTTCAGTAACTAACCCTCCAACGCAACTGTACATGGGCGCCGACAAATATGAAAGTAAGTTTCATTCGTAAAAAAGCGTAGCACAATCAACCAGCTCGCAAATAAATTGCATTCTACTGAAGTTTTTGTTAAAATACTACGTAGTCTAAAAATGTTATTAATATGCTTGAAGAAGTATATAACGAGAAGAGACAATATCCCTGGAGATTGCTTAGTATATTCGAGCATGTAAGTTTTTTCATTGAACATGTGTTTGAAATACGCTGACCGTCGACCTGACCGCCACTGACCAGTGTTTGAATGTCTTTCGAAAATGTGTTTCGCATATGTTTCAATACGTTCACAGATGAGAAGCTCATTCGGTGGGGTTGGCCAGAAGATGTTTGGTTCCACGTCGATAATTTATCTTCCGCGCACGTGTATGTTCGTCTAAAGGAGGTATACAACCTCAACGATCACCACTGTTCCGATTAATGGAATGATTGTAACAATGTCTTTTTCTAATAAGATACGGCTTGCTGATCCTTTTAAATTTCGAGACCGACTGATATTATGTACCACGTTGTCTTTGGATTTCGCTTGCGAGGATATTATTGCACTCCTTACCCAGTCCAATAGCTTTGTCTTAGATTATCATTCTCACTTTGTTGTGTGCAACGGATTTGCTTATGGTGAAGTTTCAGCTTTGTTGCAGATAGAATCTTAAAATTCTAATTAGGACACCTAATACGAGCACTAGAACCATTGTCTTCAAGAACATTTTATTGGTGTTTAGCAATCTGCACCATGAACTTCCCTTTTGCTAACACTAATCTTTAGGTTGGATTTAGTTATTTAGGTACTTAGGTACTTTATTGAGGGGTATGTCGATCCTTGTGTTTCTCAGCTTAATTGCTTATGTTTTGTCGCAGGGTCAAACAATAGATGATATTCCCCCGGAGCTCATTATGGATTGCGCTCAACTCGTTAAACATAACTCTATACAGGTAAATACGGGATTTTACAAAAAAAGACGGTTCGCGGGCTGTCGCTGGGTTAATCTTTCTGTGCGTTTGGGCAAACTACAAGTTCTATTTTATAGTATAAAAATTTAAGAACGTTTACCTTTATGGAGGTTATTACTGTCCCGTTCAGCGAAGTCAGCCAGACACACCCGAAGGTGTAAAACATAAGTCTCACATTAATAAAGCACACGTCAACACAGCTTCACGTAAAAACGAAGCTAGCGGGTACTGTTATACTGCTGTTTGAAACCATGCTATGAAGTTACCGTTTTGCGCAACAGTCAATATATAGCATAAATCCACTAACTTTAAACTTGCACATACCTATCACTAATTCGTGGCTATAATAATAACCTTTACTGAATTTGTATAGCCTTTTCCAGTGAATACTGTCTGTAAACAAGAAGTATATAGTTTTTGCCTACGCTGTGTGGTTTAGTTAGATTCAACCAAAATAAGGCAAGGGTCTTCTGGATAATGAAGTCTAGCGTATTGTGGCGTAGTTTCTGCTTCATTAAATACGTATTACCTATTTAATTGTATATACATTTATATTTACGAGTTATAGTGTAGTAGTCGCGCATCTGATATATGTAGCAATAATAATTTACAATTATCAATTTTAGGGGTGCAAAGAAAGCAGTGTCGATGTTGTCTATACAATGTGGAGTAACCTTAAAAAAACTCAAGCAATGGTGGATGGACAAGTGGGTTTCCATGATGAAAAGGCGGTGCGAAAAATTCGCGTCGAAAAAAAGGACAACTCAATTACCAACAGACTTACTAAGACCAAGGTAGGATTGATGTTTATCTCCAGAGTTTTTCTTTGTTTGTTCTTTCGCTGCTTTGTTCCGAAAATTAGAGTTAAGAGCTCCAAGTAAGTACCAGTTGTATACGTGTTTTTCGAATCGCTTGGAGTAGTAAGAATTAGATCATGATCATCGTAATCACAAGGTAGTACATCTTCGGCTTTATTTCTTACTAGCTCTTGTATTTAGGCTCATAAGTGCATATAATTATGATGATTATATATATATACACAACCAAAACGGATACAGAACTGTGCATATTCATGCACATGATAGTGTTTTCAAGCTAAGAGCTACTTTGAAATATAACGGTGGCGTGATGTTTACGTTCTTCTTCGTCTTCCACAGACAGAGGCCCATCCGGATTTCCGTGAAATGCGCGAGGAACGAGACCGCAAGGAGCGTGAAGTCAAGCGCGAACAGGAGCGGCTAAAACGGGAACGTGAAAAAGAAGAGGCAAAGCGGCGTGAGGAATTAAAAAAGCTCAAAAGTTACGATTCCCTCATGAAGCCCGAAAAGATGACGACGAACGCTGATGCTGCGGGATACGACTCCGATGACTTTATGTAAAGATCGAAACAGAACTCGTAAAAATAAATAGGAAAGATAACAGAGGAGTAGATAGATAAAGAGGAGCGTCTCAGTGGATACGGATCAGTTCCGCAGTGTATTTTGAAAATAAAAATATGAACATTGTTTGCTTGATGGTGTGAGGGCGGAAAGCTGGGGATAGCCCGTAACACAAGAAAGACGAGCATCGGCTAATCTATTTCGAAATTTGCTATATATTTGCGTTTGTTATATTATTTACAGTAAAAACACTGACGGAAAGACATTGAAAACATGACCATGTATCAGATTGAGGTAGACGCTAATTTTGGTATAACATATAAAACGTTGGATGGCTATAGCTGAAAACGATATTGAGCCCCAGTTAGGAATAAAGTGAAATTACATTGGAGCGTAATAGCAACTTGTTTGAAATCTGGCAAACTCATCCCCGGTTGAGAACAGGGAAGTCTTTGTTGTTACATTATGATTGTAACATTTGCGCAGAAGGCAACGAATGGAAAGTTCCAACGTTTTGAGCAGGCATGGCAAAATCTATGCCCGGAACGCGGTTTACGGTAGAAGTAGCCATAGTCAAGGCTGTTCAAAATATTAGGCTACTGGCAATTGGTTATTTTGGAAGCGTGTTGAGTGTGCAGGGGAGTGCAATAAATTTTAGGGATTGAAGTAAATCTATTCATACTGTACAGTTGTAGAAGAATGGGGTATGACGTTAACCAAATTCTGTTCTGTTCTTTTAGAACTGCCCGGTGGCAATGCCACCGATTTGTGTAAGCGTCGTTTAAATGTCTATTCGTCAAGACGAAACAAATATTGCCGACGCGACGATGATTCCATAATTCGAAAGTTTAATTCGTATAATAAATGCACCAAACATGGTAAATATTTGTGGTATATGTATATTTTATAAGACATTGATTTATGGATACATAAATTGAAGGCATAAGTGTATTTTTGCGCCACCGATACGTTCTTATGTAGTAAATCAACAATCTAGTTTCAATCTAGATCAACAATCTAGATTGAATAAAACTCGTTCTTTGGTGGAATACTAGTAGGATACAATAATAGTGACAATATTTTGGTTGTCGAAGATTTTATTGATAAATTATGTGAGCTGAAAGGTAGTTGAATAGAACTTGGCATGTATTCAGTAGTTTCCAATGCTTGGGTTATGGATCGCTGTCGAAACTCGTTGTAATCTACGGAAAAGCGTCTACTGTCGATCTCGTTTTCCATAAATTATGATTGAAAAAGAACATATATAATAATAATTTTCCTACTAGCACAGAATTGTATAGGAGCATATTGTATCCTTTGTATAATATGTAGAACATCAACTCAAATCGTCATATAAACGTGGACAGAATCCACGATAGCAGGCGACGCTCAAGTATTGAGTTTAAGCTCTAAGATATTGTGGGGGGTGCTTAAGCATTCATGAAAAGTTATTAGGCAATTGTAGCAGACAGAATTAATTCCAACTAATAAGGACAAATGGAGCGCATCGCGATGCTGCTATGACATCGTTTACATGACTCCTCTCGTATCAGTGAAATAAATGATGAGACGAGATCATTTGAAGTTGGCTTAGACTAGCTATCATTCTAGAATTCGTTTTATCGTGTTCTAGCTTTGTTGAAAGTACCCGTCAATGCCTGATTATCCGACCTCAATATGCTGAACTATATACAGTGCATCTACGTGTTAATAACAATCTAATCCAGCAAAAACAATTCGATAGAACCAACAAATTTAAAGACTGTGATTCAAAAATGTACTGCAGGTATTTTCTTCAGGCACAAGTTCTGACTTTTGTAAACATTTTTTTCTGCAAAGACCGGAGGCTCTCATTGGAAGGTATCCTTGCTTGGAGCGTAGCTTTTTCCGATGATATTGTATTCAACTGTTAGTACTCTCATTTGCTTCTGCTTTCCATGCTTCATTGCTTTTCTACAAACGAGGTTTACCAGTAGAGTAAGCACGCAGTATAGAGTTTTATCGCACTCATATATTGTAGCTAGTTGTTTATTTTGATATACCATAATCACCTGTTATTTCGACTCCAATCATCTGCATCAATTTTTTTTTGTTTTGTTGTTCCTGCATCATAATCACCGTCATCATAAACTGTGCATCATGCATTATTATTTTTCCTAACTCGGCTATGTCTTCTCCTTTTGTCTTACGCGGTACATTTAGCTAGCATCATAAAGAGTATTAGGTATTACTCACTTTGTAACTAGATTACTACATTCTTTACTCTGCAGCACGTTTGCATTATCGACACATTCCTCCGTTCCGTCTTTGTCATCATAGTAGAACATGACACACTTTTTCTCATTTCGCTTTCAACAATAATTCGCTGTGAATCTTCTGTGCACTTCCACGAAGGTGCAGTTTTATCCTTATCATAAAATGTTAATACCAGCAGCCATTTTTCTATTGCCACATACGTCAATGTCTTCTGAGAATCTGACATGGTACTGTCGCCCCATCTGTCCACTAATTTAAATCAGAACACTTAAACATAATGGAATATACAGCTGAATCTTAATCTTATTGCATTGTTTAGTCCGAACTTCTGCTGCAATACTGAATTGTAAATTAGTAGCTGTATTAGATCCTTGTTTTTCTAATCGAGTTTTTATTATTCATTTATGATGTTTAATTTTGTTCTGTACTCGGTACTTTCCTGTTTATGAACTGGGACTGAGAAACCTATGCGGTTTGCAGTGTTGCACAACACTTTATGTGAACTGATTTTGTTTCTGGGTAGTTCCTGTTACTCCGAGCTCGTCCTGTTCTGTGTGGAACACGATGCGTTTTCTATCTCTTACATACGACTTTGTTTCAGACGATTTTTTCGGGTATCATTTAATTTTTTTATTATTTATCTGATTACTTGTGAATGCTTCTAGATGTCGTTGCTTACTTGGTGTTTTTCGTTAATAATGGTTGTCCGAACGTAAATAAAGATTCGTCCGCGACCATACATCGGTGTGCGCTGCCCCCCGATCAAAGCGTTCATAATATTCACTTCTGTAATATGATCCGTCGTTTTTTTCGTCATTTCTTTCATCTATAGGCTAGAAGAGAGTGTGATCGGATTAAAATTTCAAGCCTGGTGGTTTACAATTATCTTTTCACGTCACGGCGTAGAAGCGGGAACTTCATTGTTAGGCGCCAAACCTGGTTTATCCTCGAAAGATTGGCAAAACCATGGACATATTTGTGATATCTTGTGAACTAAATTTTTTTTGCTTTTAGTTTAGCTGTTTGCTTTTCGCATATTTTTTTTTTCTGTTTAGGCTGATGCTATTGTTAATGATGGTTAATAATAGTAACAATTGGGTTTGCTTTCTTCAATACCATCCACCGCGTCTATTAACCACGTGTGCGCTCAGTGTGTTATGTAGATTCATGCATCGTTCTATCGGTATCTCGAATTTATGGAAATGTATCTATTCGAGGCTTTATCTGTGATGTGATGTGATGTATTAGTCATTTTTTTTTTTGTGATCGAGCACCACTTCGCAGATTGTTTTACGTGTATTTTAACCACTGATCGCCTATATCGGGGCGACTTATTCTGTTATTTCTATTCAGCCTTTGTTCAGTCATGTATATATATATATATAAATGTATTCATATGTTAGCTTACAGTATGAACTAATTTTTATCAAGGTCGCTCATATTATTATATTTATATATTACTATATATATATACTTTCATATATCTATATGCATGCATATTCTATACCTGTTTGTATTATATATACAGTCTATATAATGTGCGTGGAAGGGAAATAACGCGTGTGGCATCGACTTTGTCGAGTGGCATTACGTGCTTGAATACTTAATGCTGATGAATCCGCCACCGACGAAAAGGCATTCAACGAAGTTAGGTCCGTTGGCTATAAGTTGAATGAAAAAGTATATAAGGCTCAACGCCTTACGTGAACTGAAATTTGATCGTAGTCGTTTGTCTACTCGAATTCGTGTTGCAAACTTTCTGTTCAGATTTAGATCTTGGATGAAACAATACTTCAACCATGACTAATCTTACAAACTCCGTAGAGTCAGCGGATCTAAGGATGATTTAATTAGCCAAAAGAACTCCAAATCATCTCTTTTGTATCTTTTGATTGATTTGATGGAACGCTTGTTGTCTGTGAAATACTCCTTAGTAAAATGTGGTACAATAAGGGTCTTCTCTGACAAAGCTTAACGCGAAGATTGTTTGGCCGATTTGTGGTTACGTTTAACAGGGCGAAATCATGGCCCACCGAAGTACTGAAGTTGATTTTTTTTGCATACTAAATATAAGGTAATATTAGTAACTCGCATTCCGAGTTTATTAATAAATTTAAATCCGGAGTTCCTAGTTAAAACCTTATTACATTTTATTAGGGTAACTGTTGGTCGATTTAATAAAGTAGGCATGCGTTTGCTTAATGCGCACACCACACTGACCTTTTAGAAGTTGGAAAATTTGACTTTTTAAGTTTGGTAAACAAACATCGAAAAATGTGTGGAAAGGATTTTTATTTATGCGTGATGCAGCGGCGCAAATTAATTTCGTTATGTTTTTGTGCCGGCACACATTTTGGCCTTCATATGCTATGTTTTTCTCGGATGTTCATAAACGTTGCTATACAAGTGAGTCACACATACACACCATAAGAGCATTTGCCAATATTTAATTGGTTCATGGGTGTAATTACGTAAATTATGTATTATATAATGTGTAAGCGAATATTCAAGAGATTTTCCCCAAGTAGCTGTAAATAACATATAAAAACCGATCACTTTCCACGGCGCTCGAAGTATGATAAAATGCCATACAGTTCATATACGATGATATGAATTGAGTACGTAAGTATGCCTACTACGAAAGGATGTACCGTAAAAGACAACGGGAAAAGAAAGACGGAAAAAGACAAACAACGTCGATGATATGATCGTATGTTATTGGCCAGCCTTAACAACAATGAGCATATAGTAGCCGATCTGATACACTGATGTCATTAGTGTGAAAATGTACAGTGCGCTGTTTTAAGTCAAGCAGGTCTAACGACACCGGTCGGAAGAAAAGCGAAACAAATCGCAATGCTAGTTTTTCGTACCCTACCCCGTCACATTGTCACTCGCTCCTTGCGTAATGGATCAGAGTGAATCGTATCTTGTTTTTTAGGTCAAATGGACTAGAAAAGTTTACTGAAAAATAACAATGCGCGCATCATGCGCAACAACTGCTAAAAACTCGTGAATTGCTGGTAGTGATCCGTTTTGTCGCCTAACCATGATTCTATTTGCGTCAGTCTTCTATTAGTAGAATGTCCGTATTGCCCATAAGAGGCAGAAGCGGCTACGAGTTCGAGGATCAACAAACGAGTTCAAAATAATGAAAATAATTGGCAAAACATTAATACCAAGTACTTATAGATCCACTTATCGGTACTATCTAATACCGTACTCGGAGTTGACTATTCGAAAGTCGATGGGGGTATAGGGTTGTTTATTGTTATACCACGGGTCTTAGCCTTGTGGCACTTTAACATTAGCATTAGTATCTTCAATATGATTTTCAACTGATTCTTTTTCTGTCTTCATTGCCCTTTAATCGGACGACATCGAATTGTTTTGTAAGGATGTATGCTTTCTAAACGTTCGTGTATGTTATCGTTTAGAGACTAAATTTCGAATAATTGGTGGACGACATACGTCACCCGACGGCGCACCGAACTCGCATTATCGCATTTGACAATTTTCTTCTTTCTGTCACACGCTGCGGTATCGTTATTGAAAACACAGTCGATCTATTGTTTTCGAACGAGGGCATGCGCGCGATGATAGAACTGATATAGGATGTGAGGATCGAGGGAAAATCGATAAGCCGCATATTTTCTGCTCTGCTACATCGTTTTATATATATATATATATATATATATATATATATATATATATAAGATGATTCTTTGTTTTCTTGTTTTTCATTTCCACTCACATATTAGCAGTATATAGGCAAACCTATGAGTACAGCGATATCGATATAGCTTGCAATTATCGGATGATGGGCTTATAGCTCACTGTGTACAGCTCAATCAACTTCACCTATCATGTGTTCTGTTTATAATGCTATAGCGAAATGTATTCGGCATTACCATGTTGATTACATTTAGTTTGGCGGTAGAAGGGGCACATCTGGGTAAAGGATTATGGTATTCACAAAGTGATTCTCTGCAGCATTTCGCTTTTTTTTTCGTCAATATCGTCATTATATCGCTAGGATTATTTTGATATTAGGTATATTATTATCAATACTATTCCTACTATATTCGGTTTTGAAGCCGATATCATACCGACTGGAGATGATGTTATGCGACCACCTATACGGTGTTGTTGAAGGTCGTTAGCTACGTTTACGTAGCAATTTATGTATCTTTCGGCGATTATCTTTCGTTTAGTTTGTATGTAACTTCAGACTTCACTCGCTACGTCCATCCGAAGTCTTTCAGTGTTTGTATGTTGCTATGCTTCTAAACTACTGCAGTGGAGGGAGTTCACGCATGTCGGAGTGCGGTTGTGACATGGCGGCAGTATGCGGCAGGTGTTGTGGAGTCTGGTAATGTGCTCTATGAAGAATCTCGTGAAGGTCGGGACGACTCAGGAAGTTTTGAAACACTTGCTGAAGCGGATATCTTGGCGTAGCACCGCAGTCATCCCAGTACCGGCCTGGTTTAAGGACTGTTGGAGCGCTACTGGCCAGCATGTTTCCAGTTAAGTGGATTCACTTGCAATGAGCCTTTTTTGTGAACCGATCGAGTTCGACTAGTACATGTGACTGACCCACAATGGCTGTTCGTGTATTTAATTCTTAAACGTCTGAAGTATTTTTTGCAAGCCATGTCTGTCGCACCTTTGTTGAAACGTTTCTGCAATAATTATGATATCATTGATACTGGGTCTTCTGTTTATGATTAGCCAAAGAATACGTAAAGATATAGATAATTTCTTAACAACCGCAATGTGTATTTTTCCACGTCTTTGTCTGTTGTTTCACAATCATGTGTGGTCATTTTCCGATTTTCTATCGTAGGCCCTAGTTCTAGAGCTGCTGTTGTGTTACATCACATTATCACTGTTATACGTACAGGATTCTCATATGTTTTATATCCTATAACTGAATACAGGTCATGCAAGAAGCTATGCCAAGACCTCATGATAAGGCCGTTTGATTAAACTATATTATTGTGCCGTACGCATACTGTACAAAAAAATACCCATTATTCACGATTTGTTCTTACCATAGTCTCAGAGTATCCTTGGCATACACAGATGTCACGGAAATGGCAAAGCTACTAAATGGGCTAATGTAGGACTAGCCAGTCACTGACAACAGAATAGTGCTGGTATTTCAAAGTTACTAAGAGTTCTATAGCATCTCTTTGATCAACGTTTCGGTCGCAGGCATGTTCATAAAGCGTGACAAAGCCAGCACAAAGCCGGTAGTAGCCGGCTATCACTTCACTAACTTCATCCGCATGAACGATACCACGAAACGTTTCGTTGCGTTTCGTAATTCGTTCGTTTCAAAAACGCGACGATTATTCGCGTTAAATTTGCGTCAGTACAGCAACATATCTCTATCCAGCTTTGAGCGCGCGGCGGAGGTACGCTATCGAATATTCAATAAACGAAACGCACAACAAACATCAGATAACACGAGCCGTAAAGCGATTCGCGACCAATATGCAACGTTTAACGATAATCGGGTTCTGAATTAATATAGGCGCTGGGTAGAAAAACCGCCGGTGGGGTTACAACATACACAAATATATACATATAGATGGGCAAATTCGGCGAAGTTAGCCAAAAATATTGCCGATATATATATGGTGATATCAAGTATCGAGAAAGACTTGCAGTAAACGAAAAGATTTTTCTGAGCCTTTCTTCAGAAGAATAGACGCCAAGGCGACACAGCTAATCGGATCTTTCTTTTTTTATATCTGAAATACTCTACATTCTCGAAAGTGGTCCATAATTCTTAAGGCGCTTTTTTGAAATTATTTGTTTATTAAACGAATAGCTGATTATTGGATAATTGAGATTAAACAAAAAGCACCTCAATACGCCATTAACCTCAAGGTCGGTGTTTTCATCATCTTGCAGCAATTAACCTTTACGATTATAAACGATGGGCGCGCAACAGTAGCCCAATTAAGCTGCGATGCCAACAACATAGTCAGACTTTAGTTGGTTCTGCCACATTTATTTTTTTATGTTCACGCCTGTTCAGCAAAGTCACAAGTGTTTCTGCGAGCTTACGTGACTAGGTGTGTCTTTGCTAAACATGCGCGGAGGCGCATTTGAATTAAAGGCGTCTTCTTTCTTACATCTACTTGTCGTTCGTGTCTTAGGCACGTCGTTGTCAATTTACCTCGAACTGTTATCATTGCGCATGCATCAATCAGGTATCGATCGTTTCCACTGAGTCCATCTTGTTATCGTTCACCCGTTTCTTCGGCACTGTTGTGTGTGTATCTGTGTGGTTCAGATTCACAGATTCACTACAGAAGATAAGATCGACGAATTTTCCGTTTTGCGTTTTTGGCCATGTTTTTCTTTCGCATCGTAAATTTGCTTATATTTATGATAGAAATTAATACTTTCATCATTTTTAATTCATCAAGTGCCTATCAGTATCAACTGGTAGAGCAAATATTGTAGTTGCGCAAGTTGCAGTTTTAAACTTTTGAATATCTATGCGCGCGGGCATAAATCAGGCGAAAATCTTTCCCAGGCAAGGACCTATCCTACTGCCGAAGAATCCATTGCTGGCTATCATAAGAGAGGCCGTCGATTTTGGTTTTATCCTTTGATTTCATTTAATCCAGCACTTTTATTATCGCACATTATGTCGTCTCCATGCATTACCATCTTGCGATTGTTGCTAGCCATTTCATCGGCCTCCCTTCCTGTTTACTCGAACAATACTTATGATACAGCACGATGTAGAAATGAACTACTCTTTCTTCAACGTCATCGTTAACTTAAGCATTCTTCTATTTAGCTGGTATTGTTACTTAATCAGAACGCACTGGCACCAAACGCGTCAAAGTTGGCAAAGCCGTCACTGCTTTGTTGCGGCGCAACTGCTGAGGCTTCTCCGGTCGGGGCAAACGGATCGTTGCTAAAGCCACTAGAAACTGTCACAGATGTGGGTGCAGGTGGAATAGGTGGAGCAGGTGCCGCCCTAGTGGGCCCCTGGGGCCTGCTGGGGGGCGCTGGCCTGGGCGGGGGAGCTCTACTATTACTACTTCCTCCCTTCGATTTAGGCGGCAAAGCAGGTGTTGGGCTTGCTCTTGACGTCGCGAATGGGTCTTCCCCAAAGGGATCACTCGCCGCATCTCCTCCCGTTGACGGTACGGCGAATGGATCCTGATCACCAAACGAATAGGTCGAACGAACCGGCTCCCCGGTTATGGCAAATGGATCTTGTCCGGCAAATGGATCTTGCCCTCCGAAAGGGTCCGAAGAAAAGCCTGCCTCCTCAGCAAGCTTTGCCATGGCGGCCTCGTGCCGCTCGTTGAGCTCCTTCATGGTCGACTAATGGAAAAATATCGAGAGGTTCCGAAAACCCGAAGTTAGATGAATATGTTTGGGTATGTAGAAAAAAAATAGATTTCACAGAAAGAAGCCAGATATTGAATTAAGGCGGTAGGACCGGGCACAAGACTTCGAACAATTTTCATTTGTAGGGGCGTATGTTACCAAATGAATCAGGCGGAAGCTATTTATGAAATATGTAGCCTAAAGTAGCTAACTGCTAAATGGTAAATACGTTTGCATATTTAGTAGACGAATGTGAACAATTGATATATTGTGAAAGCAGCAGATGAGATGGATTTGGAGCAAAATTGAATAAAGTAAAATTAAAAGAGTATGTAAAAATGACGTAGTTTGAATGAGCTATGGTTTCTTCGAGGTTTATGTTGAAGGTACCTATTAAGGCAGTTTTATTAACAAATGTTTAGCAAATTTTCTGACATTCGTTTTGTATGCCTACTATTCTTTTGGTTCAGAAAAGACTCACCTTTTGTGACTCAATCTCTTCTTGGATCTGTTTAAGTTCCTCGGCCATTTCAGCTTCTTTGGGGTCCTGTTGGTTCATCGACTCCTCAATCTGCGCTTTTTCCTCTTCAAACGTCTTTCGTAGCTGTGCCACTTTTCCTTTTTCCTGCAAAACGACAGTAAAAGTGTACAAGGAACAGTCAGTGATACAAACAACACAGAAAAATCTTTTGTTTTGCATTCTTTTTGATTGTAAACTCCACGACGGTGCAGCATCAGTATGCTTGCTGACAAACTTGGAGAAACACGGAGGTAACTTAGATTCAAACGGCTGTAGATCTTTGATCCTGAAGTAAAAATCTGTAAAAAAAAACACTATTCTTTTTTTCAGTCTCTCCAAATTACTTGTATTGAGCCCCAAACCTAACATAAACTTGAAGCAGTGCTGAATGAGTATACCAGGATCTGTCGTCAAAGAAACAACTGACAGTCAGCTATTGAAAGAGTTTACGTGTATCTGGCTTCTGTTGAAATTTTCCAGAAATTAAGTCTTTTGCACGTCGAGAGGTATTCCATCTACGACAATAAGGTACTTCACAAAGTAGCCAATAACATTTACATCTGAATCTCTACGATACCTAAGAACAAGTTTCGGGTTCGACGTTATTCAGACACGCTTCTCAGGCTGTCCGCTCGGTGCGGTTCACGTCGACCGGAAACTAATATTAAATGCTGATGATTAGTTCCGTTCTGTATTTCAACACAGATTCTAGCGAAAAGTACTTCAATGAAGTCTTAACACCGAGAAATGCCACTACAGGAAACTTGAAAAGCAATGAAGCTAAAACACGTTTTTTTTAGATTGATTGCGCCGAGCGTTTTATTGGACTACACTAGAGTAGAGGTCTATTCTTGCTTGAATGAGTACGTAGTCTGAAGCAAGCTTGGAAATGACGCTCACTGCATTAAGCGTATCCTTTTGCTTGTATAAAATAGCAATGTATCCGCCCCCCGTTACGAGGGCGGTTATGACGCATCAAGAAGCATAATTGTGAAAGAAAGATGCCTATCTCATGCACACCCATCTAAAGAAATCTGGGAAAAACAAGGTCAATCATATCGCATTTTCTAACGCCAGCTATATACCTTTATTTAAATTGATAAACCTGTTCTGCTCTTTCGACATCTTTCGCATCCAGCATAATGACTTGGTACTCTGTACTGTTACGACCAAACATGATCATTTAGCGTATTTTTCCCACAGTTTTACGAAACAAGGCAGTGTACAATGTAAAATGATACTAAATTCTGAACAATAGGATTTTGGTATTTTCCTATCTCAGCCTTTTTCGAAAAGTGCCCGCGCCACGGCAATAGGTAAGGGGTGCGCAAGTAAAAAAAATATCTTGCTGAATACAGAAGTAATCTAGTTTAGTGAAAAAAATTTTGAGAACTTAATGTCGAAACAAGAAGCCATAAGTTAAAACCAAAGAACTAATGTGTAAAAAGTTGAAAGCCGATGGCGGAAGGTTAATAAAAAAAAAAAATATCCTGAATAACCTTGAGTCCGAAAAGCAGCACACGAAAGTATTCCGGGTTTCCAGGAACAAACCCCTCATGTTACAATAGACGAGATTAAGCGCCTAAATTAGGCCGGGAAAACTGCTGAAAGAGCCAGAATTTCCTGTTGGGTTACTAAGTTCATGGTTTAAGAGGTGTCCTATTATTGTGAAGTGTTTCTTTAGGAAAGAAGGAATTCCTGAGGAAAAACTAGAGGAGTGGTCGCCTTTATCTTTAGAGATAATTTCCATAGTAGGTATTCTTCACGAGAAGCTATTTTTTCGTAAAGTACCGTCTGAACGACTCCGCGAAAAAATCGATTGCTGTAAGAGGCTCTATATAGTTTCCGGAAAACCACTCGGTTGCAAAACTCCAAAAGTGGTAGAGTGAAGTAACAAAAAAAAGACCTTTGACTACGTAGTTTCAGGTAGGTATGTCTGTCCTAGATAACTGGCCGGGCTACTCCCATCAGCGCAGAACAAATTAAATATCTGTTTATGCCCGGTTTCGAACATTAAATCTACCACCTTATAAGTGTTTCTAAGTTTAAAAGTAAGCAAAGAAGTTAGCATTGAACTATCTCACGGAGACAAAAAACATTTCGAACTTATTTCTCGAGCGTCACTTACGTCAGTCAACTGGGCCTTGGTTTCAGTGAGACGTTGTGCGAGGGCTCCCTTTTGTACGCCGAGCTCTGCCAATTTTTTATTGGCTTCACGTTTCTGCAACTCCAGCTGTCGGAGCATCGCCTGGAGCTGTTCGAGTTCTCGTCGCGCGGCCGCAACTTCGGCTTCTCGACGTTTTGCTTCCGCTTCGACACCGTCGACTTCCTCTTGAATGATACGTTTTTCACTGCATTCCGCACGTAACACAAGCATGTACCAGTGTTTCTATGTTGGTAACATTAAATCCCATTTTCGAGGTATATATTTTTTTGAGGTAAAGATATTAGAAGATTTTTTTATGACACCACATATTTGACTAACTGGGGAATCTGAATTGCTCATCTAATCCTATATTTTATTTGTTGTACTACATGTTTAGCTCCATACGAAAAATCAAATTTAGATATTAGGCAGATATCGTCATTACTGTATTATGTTGAAACCAAAAACAGTTCTTATGCAAGCTCATGCATGCCAACCAGGTTTTTTGCTACAACTGCATTTAATAACCTACTGCTTTCAATTGTAGCCAATAATAACTTTCTTTTCTAATACATGAGCATATTTCAACTTGTGAAAAGTTTGAAGTTCACCTAACTCGTATCACAGGTTCTGTACATACACACGGTCACCAATCAAATCTTGTTTTATCATTTTCAACAACAGTTTTTGCCATTTAAAGCTGAGACTTCTTAATTCTATGGAAGGTAATACATTCACTCCATTGCCGAACGCTTTTATTGTAGCATTAAACTGAAAACACAGTGAAAATCATGCTGGTAATGTAAAGGTCGTACTGAAAGTAAGTAGTATCAGAATCACTCACGTCTGAAGCTGACGGATCTCTTCATTTAGCGCGTCGAGCTCTTTATTCCCGGTCGGCTTGTTACGCTCTCGCAGTTTTTCATCTACCAAAATCATGGCTTGAATAAACTGGCCACTGTTTAACCGTCCAGTCTGTCCTGTATCCACTGAACCCCAGATGAACGCAAGGTCCTGTTGCGGCAAACCGGTGTCAAGTAAGGTCTGTTTACAATCAGCGCCGTTGACTAGGCCGTCATTGTCTGTATCTAGTCGCCGAAACAGTTTTAGGTGCTTTTCTCGCTCGAGGTCCATCATCGTCTCGCCGTTTGGTAGCGTTGGAGATCCGGCCTTAACTGGAGGCATCGACACGGTTGGGGGTGAGTTAGCGCTGGGCGCCACCTGAGGTGGAGTAGGCGTCGCGCCATTGTTCGTGGCACTCGTAGGCACCGGCGAGGGTGCAGCGGGTGCAGTGTAGCACGAAGGTATGGGGTTTGAAATAGCAGCTGCGTTGTTCGCTTGCTGTGCCAGCGGTGACAAAGGATCGACGACTGTGGTTGTGGTAGTTGGCAGAGGTTTTGTCTTGACGAGTTGCGGCGGTAAGGACATCGGTATTGGGGCATTCTCCCTGAGCGCCTTAGAAACCAAGTGCATGCTGACCACGAACTCATCTATATCGAGCGATCCGTCCTGATCTTGATCCGACAAGTCCCATATCCGGCCGAGTACATCGACGGGTAACTTGGAGTTTAGCATTACCTGATTGGAAAGAGGAAAGAAAGGATAGAAGGTTAATACTAAAAAACACGGATATCAATGTAGACACGTACAGGGTAAAGCAGTGTGTTTTTAAGTGCTGCTTTGGATCACAAGACTTAACACGGTAGTGTTCTGTGTTGTGACCCTACTTTTTAGTCCAGGAAATTGTTCTTCAAGTCAGAGACACAAAATGCCTCTATCATAAACGTTATACGGAAGATCTGTATTTCTCGTAGAAATTAACATTTATATGCGAATGTCCTTTGATAGCCGGTTTTTTTTTTCGTTACTATTCAAACAGGCTCACCCTTATTGATCACATCTAACAAAACACGAATGATTGTATAACCGGTCAAATGTCCATTTCGATCCCTTCTCAATCCCCTACCGGTTTCACTTTGTTTCCCGGAAGTAGTCCATTTTGTGGTCCGAGAGTGTGGAACATTTGCTCATATTTCGCTCGGTTTTCAGGCTGAATCGACCAGTCGATGGCGGGTGGCGTGTTGAGAAGGCGCGGCGCAGGTGTTTCAGCTTGTATTAACGCGGCCTCAGAGGGGGTCACGTTGGACTGGGCCAGTGCTATGAGCTTGAGTGCAACGAAAAAGCCATACCGATCTAAAAACCTGAAAGAGGCCGCAAGGTTTCACCAAAAATAAACGAAACGACTCGATAAGTGAGTAAATCTTGGGTTGGATTGTAGGTAGTAGATGTTGGAGTTGAAGTAAAAATAAACTGCCTTATTATAAAATACTACCTGTGTAACATGACATGCTGCAGTGGCGAGCCCGTTTGAATGATACAAAGCTGTTTATGGAAAAGGAATTAGATAGAATAGTCAGACATATATTGTTTCACTTAAGGAGCACATGCTGAATTTGGATGTTCGATTAACAAGGGCACTTATGAAGCCCGTGACTTTTTTCGTATTATTTAACTGCTTCGTTTTGATACATGCCCGTAGGTTAACAACATAAACGTCAAGTGAATTGGAACAAATCTATCACAATCAATGCCCTTTTTGAGCAAGAATCTATTGAAGAACCTAGGTAAGCCCAACGACAAGTAAACTTAAATCTAATCAGCACGAATTAATCAAAGTATAATCGGCACAAATATTTCAGTCATCGCATATTGATTTGGCCTAGGTGCCAGTATTTTAGGATGTTAGGAAATAAAAATAATGGTGACGAAGCCACATTTCCACTCGAATTTCCGAAAAAAAAATTAAAAGATGCAAGCGATCTAAGAGAAAGCGTAATACGTTGCGAATGATTGTCAACAATTTAGCTCAACTGATTCCCTCCCTTCCTCTCTAAACGAAGGAGGTCAAAAGTGTGTTACCACCATATAAACCCCTTGAATTGAACAAAAAAATGAATCAAGTCATAGTTTCTACCTTCTGAACACCTTCCACTCACCCTTTTTGATCCGGATCTGCCAGTTCCCAGATATCTCTAAGTATACTATCTGGAAGCGCACTTCGCTTGAGGAAAGCGGCTGCCTCCATTGCCTCAATATGGTTGACTCCGGCTGGGTCAATTTGCTGGTAGAGGGCATCGTAAGCCGCGAGGTGCGGGCCGACCAGCTGAAATATGATCGGTAACATCAACACAATAAAGTTATTTTCTTTATTCACATGAATTGTGCAGTATTTATGCATCATGACATGACGACTCTAAGCATTGGCCGCTGCCAATCGCTTTTCGAGGCTTCGCCAACGCCTAGAACCATCGCGAAAATTAATATAAACTAAGTGTACGAATTCGAAAACGCGGATTGGGTGGCGAAGAAACGGTTTTTCACCTATTTTTTGGACAAAAGTGAAAATGCTGCAAGATGCAGAACATTAAAGGATAGGTATTATTGCATCATCTGTATTATGATAGATAGTTCGATTCTATCTAGCCAACATGCTTAAAAGTTGTTCCTTTAAAGCTTTTAAATAGATTGTTTCACAACTATCGCTGACAACTTTGTTTTAACATTATTGTACAAACATGTTTTTCTGACACTACAGTTCACCTATAGTGAGTAAGAATGAAAACTGGAACTTAAACACGAAACATGCGCGTCGATTGATGAGAACCATCTACCATTTTTCAGATTACACCGTAATCCAATCATGAGAAACGTCTCTGGTTTTTAGGCAAAAAATTGTGGCAAATAATTTTTACATTCCTCCATTGAAACTAAATTATCATTGCTAAGGGAGCTATGTAAAGAAGGATGACAGTCTGGTGGTGCGAAATATCGGGTGTATGACGGTGCGCTGAAATTTTTCATCTGAATTTTATCGATTTTTTCCACGTAGCTAGAGATGTATGTGTTGTGACATTATTATACTGGAAGACAACAAGTTCACAAGTTGGGGTCAATTTTTTTGTTGTATCTGGTCAATTGTTGGACAGATACGGTTCCGAATCGGCTTGCTTACAAGGTAAGGTAGCTGCAACTTCTAATGCACGATACTTTTCTAATCATATTAATAAACACATCGTACTACATACATTGACGCCACTCTGGGTTTTGTCACATTTTTTTTTTCATTTTCACAATATTGTTCTATGTGATCTACTTTGAATTGCCTGTAATCAGCCGCGTTAGAAGTGAGGGTTTTCAGAATGAAATACAATTGATCTATTCGTCAATCCATGTGGCATCCAAGGGTCGAACTTTTTTTTATAGGCGGCTTTTTTCGAATAGTTTGAAACTGTTTGGTGGTGAATGTTTAGTTTTTTGGATATATAATGGCTAGCCATATGTTATTCTTGGTCAGTTTTCGTGATGATTTTATCAGCTTTTTCCGTACTTAAGCAAGCGCTACGAGAAATATCTAGCTTAACCATCTCATCCGATAACTCGTCTCATACGTCTTTAAGGCGCTCTATATTAAGTCTGAATAAAGGCATTTTAACAATTCTAGCACGTTTAGTACAGTCAAATCTCAGCTTTCAGACGACACCAACACGACTCATATTGTCTTGAGACATGTGACTTTAAAGGCTAGTTTCTTCAGAACACCGCAATATTTGACATACAATGAGGAGAATACCTCGTATCCGCAATAACTTGCAAGGCCATTAAACATTTTTTCTAATCTAACATCAACATTTTCGTTATGGTGCTCGACATTGAATTAATCAACAGGGCAAAAAAAGCCACGGCTTGCTTGCTATCTAACAAGAAAAAAAAAAACAAAACGAGGTTTTATAGTTCAGCATAGAAACGGTAATTTAGGTGCCTATGACGCCGTTTGCATTCCGAGTATCTGTATACGTGTATATGTATGTACATGTGAGTAGTTTTACAGGGAGAGAGAACATGCAAAAACTGTGTTATTTTAATTTTATAGAAATAGAATCAAGTGCACGACCTTAACTAATTTAGCCGACGAGCTGATGTAGTCCAGTTGTTAGCGTTTCCATGTTTGGAAGTTTGCCGGGGCTATGTGTTTGTAGATCCAACTGCAGCTATTATTGGACCATTAGTAGTATAGATTGCTGCTGGTGAATTAACTAGCAAAAAGAGAACGGACTAGAGAGCAGTGAAATAAAATAAAGAAGAAAGCAAAACTGAATTTTCGTATAGCTCCTATCGAGAGCCGTTTATTATCATAGACACTAGCAAGTAGGCATCAAGAATTAGACAACAGTTATTGTGAGCTCTTTAGGTATAAAAGAAATGCAGTTGTCTAAGTTTTCCTACGTGTAGCAGAGTCAGTTAAGGCATACAAGCTGTCCATCAGTATTCTATTTTTTCCACACAGGCGATGTAAGATGGAAATACATAGTCGTATACAGGAACCTAATATCTAGTGTTTGCTTTTTTGTACATATTTAATATAGAAAATATATCCTATATGTAATATAGAAAAGTAGAATTTTGTGAAGGACATCGCAAGATGTTGGATAGATTTCTACGCCCTTTTACTATGAGGTCTATTCGCATATTTTCTCAACATTTAGACGTATACACTATATATATCAGATATGGGTGATTGTATACCAGCGAATACAACGACAGCTCAAAATCTCGCGCATTTTTTTAACCATTTGTTCTGCTTGTTTATTGTTCGTTTACTTTGTGTTAAAAATTTGTCTCTATTTTCATCAGATGATCGCAGAAAGTTTGAATTATAGGATTCTATTCCCTTAATTGAAATTTTGTTCGAGACTTTTTCGAACATTTTCGGTGTAAAGATAAACCTCTTTTGAGTTCTTATTGTCTAAATTTTTTGCATTTATGTATATAATAGGACAAGTCACTTACAAAATTATATTAGGTAACTTCGCGCTAATTGTCTTCTATTTATTCACTGACACCTGTAAATGACACACAAACTAATTGATTAGAGTATACTATCTCATGGGTCCGTTGTCATCCTCGTCGCTACTCCAGTTATCTTGTGTGACAACAGATAGACCCTGCCTAGGCTTTCTGGTAGCTACTCCGGATTCCTCTTGTTGGATGTACCCCTTCTGATTGGCTTCTTCATCCAACAAATCCGTCGAAGTCCACAGCAGTATATTACGATCACTGCCAGCCGAATACAGTCTGTTGCTGAATGAACAGTATTCCACAGCGTTCACCGAATTGAAGTGGCCGGTCAGATCTATGAGTTTCAAACCGCTGGTAAGATCAAATATTTTCACAAGTTGATCCGATGGAACAATCACCATCGGCGGTGAAGTGTCCGTGGTCATTGCAATCTTGACACCTTTCAGTGCGTGACACTTCACGCGACCGAAGTTGATCTGACGATTCTTCGCCAACGCTACGTCCCATAACCGAACGGCGTTGTCCTCACCGAAAGTCACCAGTCCAGTGCCATCTGGAGTGAACTTTAGCGAGACGAGGCGTCCGTCGTGTGCTTTTCGATGGGCACCCCTTCCTTTGCCATCGCTATGCACGTCGAGTGCTGTCAAATGGCCTCTCGAGTAGCGAATGTCCCACAGTACACATTTGCCGTCGCTACCACCGGTAACACATATGTTCTCACAGGTGGGCGACCAGGCCACTGTGAGCAATGTGCCTCGATGGGCACCGGACAGTTGATGGATCTTCGTTCCGACCCGCAGATCCATGATCTGCGCATATGGATACTCGGTAGCAAAAAGGACCATCTGTGAATTGAGCGATGACACATGGTGGCGATAAATTCGCCGCTCCATCTTCTGTACTAAGACCGGCCTCAAACGGTTGGTATCCCACAGTTTAAAATTACGATCCATACCCGATGAAGCGAAAACGCCTGTGTCCAGTGGCCACCATTGTATACTCTCCACACTGAACTCGTGACAATGCCTATTGCTTTTGTCGATCCGGCACACGACCTTTAGCGTTCCACCATTGGAATGCTCGGTTGGATCGACTTCGTGCGTGTCATGAATGAAAATCTGGCCTGAAGCACCGGCCGATAACAAGTACCTGCCCTCCACAGGATCAAGATGGAGCGTATTCACCGGAGAGCGATGGCACCGTTCAACGTCTAAGCTTTTTGACAGACAAAGTTCAGCGATTTTGCCAGCCATCTGAGTTCTGCTAAAGGTCGCTGCTGATATGCAGCCCCGTTGAAGATCGTAAAGCAAGTTTAACCTACTGTCGAACCTCATTGTAAGGCGTTTATCCTAAGCTTAGTCTAGTTCTACAGCGAAAGTTTTCTGAGTAAAGATTGTTGTGGAAGAACACAGCTCAAGTCGACCTTCAATCAACTGCCCTACAATTTCGGTAGATAGTATCACTGAACAAGTAACATGCTGCGACGGTTTGACGTGAAATTCGATCGTGACCTACAATCAATGCAGTCCTGCAATCCGCACGTCGATATTTAACGGGAACACTCTATACACATTAGCATATATAGACACATCTGCTATACAGGCTCCAACCGTAATACGGACACGCTTAGAACGTTTTGTAACATGTACTTTGTCTCGGAGAAATTCCAGTCACGAACTACAGGTGCAAATACCGGTACATTTTGCAGGTGGCCATGAACCAACGAGAAGAGCTGCAATCGTTTCAATAATTTTGTTATATGTCTAAGCTAAACTACCCATTGCAAGCCACCACTCAGTAATTGTCACTAGCCATGAGGCAGGTTGACGCCCATTGACCAACAATTATTAACTGGCACTAACGCTGAAAGAGTTAGACAAAAGCCTTCGCGTGTAATACCGTCATCCAGTCACTAATACACCGTATGCCATGATAAACATATGAGTCTATTGCATTTTCGAATTCGAATCTCTTTCAGACAGTATACGCGAAGGATGACGACAACAACGGTGTCAGCTAAGCTCTATCACAGCAGAACCGAGTCGAATGATGCAACCCGACTTTCGCTCCTACATTAGAACGAACCATGGCATGTCAATTTCATTGTTTCTCCGGCATATCATCGCTTTTATGGTGTATCATAATTTTCATGGCAAATCATCATATTCTTTCATTTTTACTATATTCGGTATCTGTTCTAAGCGAAGTCAGGAATCCATTTCAGCATCACCCATCTGCCCTTAGCGAAATACATGTGTCGAAAACTTGACAACGTATAACAAAAGATCTCCCGCTTTCGTTAACTTAGACAGTTGACTACCGTTAGTACTACAACGCCGCCCATATTTCTATTGGAGAAATCTTACAGGACACGCCGCGAACTGTCCATCGTTACTCCGCTTATACAGAAACAGTCACCGAACATCAGCAGTTTAATTTGGATGGCGTCTGCTCTAATATTTACCAATAACTGATACATGAGTGAGTAACAACACAAATCTACTGCCTATTATGAGAACAGTTCTTTACAAGCTAAAATAGCGCATGATGGTATTAACAGAAGAGATGCACGATACGGCTGGTGAAACGAAGAGCGGAAAGTCGTTGCTGCTGTTCTACCTATTACATTAGGCCGATAAATAGAAAGCAACGAGCATGACACAACAGTAGTCAAAGAAAAGCATTCGCTCTACAGATAGTGGACCTGCACTCTGCCCCAGTATATCTACGAAAGCGCTATTGAAAGAGTTTAAAATACGCAAATAGGTTGTAAGGTGGATAGGGCCTAAGCCGCCGTTTAAGTTCACGCTCGGCAGTAGCAATGACCAGCGCTAGAGATTACCGGCCTGTTGAGGCCTGTTCCAAATCAACGTTGTACCTGCTACCAGCACAACTGCTGCGGCTCTAATGAACAAACAAACTGGTTCGGCAAGGGAGAACGCATTAATATCACTAGTATTTGTATATACCATCAAATCAAAGTTATTTTAATCGTATCGCGTTTAAAGAAAAAAAAAATGTGAGAAATCCATGTGTGCGAGTGACCTTTTTCTGTTATATGCTGTGGCCAGTTCAGTCAGTACTTACGCCTGAATGAAACGTGAAAATAAGCGTTAATTGAGGCGGAGGAGGTTCTGCATTTTATGCTTAGGCGTCACCGGCGTCACCCAAATAATTTTGTCTAATTTCATAACCAAGAAGTTTCTTGCCTAGAATTGCGCATTGGTTTGACCACTGAATACAAGAACTTTGAATAGTTTCAGAGCATTAAAGTCACAGATTCTTCCCGGCTCACCTCACTTATGATTAAACGTTTTCATCTAAGTCTCGTATTATTTAACTTTGGTTTGTACAATACGCCAGCCAGTGATAATTATTTGAATAATATATGTAAACATATATATAAGCTCAGTATATTTTTAGGCCTTGAAAACTATTAAGAAGAATGAGACCACCGGAGAAAAAGCGTGTGCGTCACATTTAAAATGAACGTTTCTAAAGGAAGACTGATTTCTTGAACAAACTTGGCGTCGCTGGTTGTTAGAGGTAATTCAAAGTGTTGCCCAGGACGTACGAACTGGGTCGAGCATATCACGAGGCGGTACATGTGTTGCCTATTGCCAGATGGGTTGCCGTGGACATTGTTCCTATGTTAAATAATTTACTATTGATTAGCAAATCAAACACGAAGTGAAATTAACCGCATTATTGATGCAGCGTTTATAAGTAATAAGGAAGAACATGAATAACTTTTCTCAGAACGTGTCGACGCTTCAAAGGTGTCCGTTGAATTCCAAGCTCAAAATGCTGTTATATATGCTTATGATTTATTGCGTAAACAAATCACTCTTCTATCTGTTCTGCTTTGTTTCGAGTGCTCCATTCGTCCCACACTCAGAAGAGGCTCGATTATGCTAAGTATTTTCGAGTGACGCGTTAATATATAAACAAAAGTATTCTTGTTCTCATATTTTTAATTATATGAAAAATGACTGTCTAAGGCAATGCCTAACGTCAGAGGCCAATCAAAACACAGCCATCTCTAGTATCTGTAGTATAGTTATGTGAGTTGATCTGTGATAGAGTAAGATGAGCATCCGAGAGACATTCAATCTTAGCCTGTATAGAGCCGTCTGTCTCGTCGTAGTCCACGAACAATGCAAGCAATTTCCACGTTGCGAATATTAAGTACCATTTTGAATGTGTCGTCATAAGTCGCAGATACGTACATCAGTTTTCACCTACATGTGCATCCTGTTATTACAGATGTGTAGCTTGTATATATATGTATATA